ACCCATATTAGACCCACAGATAGACCTTAGGTCACGCGTCTTTGACTTTGTACTTATATTGGACCCACAGATAGACCTGAGGTCTTGTGTCACTGACTTTGTACCCATATTAGGTCCACAGATAGACCTTAGGTCTCATGTCTCTTACTTTGTACCCGTTTAGACCCTCAGATAGACCTTAGGTCACGTGTTTATGACTTGGTACCCAGCTTAGGCTGTCAGATAGACCTAAAGTCACGCGCCGTCAGATAGGCCTCATGTCACGTGTCTCCAACTTCTGGATCAGACTAGACCAGCGTACATAGGTGCCAATCATATTCGATTGACTTAGGTAGTGACATCATCGCGATTAGCAAAAGTAATCTTCATTTGACTGTTGAATTTATTTGAACGAATATCGTTGTATTGATTATCATTCCGGTTGAAAGGATTTAAAATCCATCAATTCCGCATAACACTTCAAAACAAAATTCATTGATGTATATGTGATTATATGCCTCACATTATTTTAATAGTATTGACATTGGTTTTTCACTGTGTCCATATTTTTGCGAGAAATAGGTCTGATATCAAAGAGTGGTTCCTCAGCCACGCCCTCTAGATCGAGTACCTGGGAAGTTAGCAATGAGTCAGTCGAGGCGTGGTACAAACCATCTAGCATACAGAATATCAATTATCGAGCTGAGGTTTGCTCTGTATACTTCAAAGTCAGGACTGCCAAACTTCATTTAACACTGGTCAGAAACGTATAGACGTTGGGGGTCTTTGAACTTTCAGTTAAACAGCCCCATTTTCCTTGGATTCTTGTTGTATATTTAATGTAGGTCATTGTGACCTATATTTTACACTTCGCAGACTTTGATTTGACTGGTTCAAACCTCCATTTCTATCTTGTGTAGTTTAATGTAAGAAATGTAGATTGTAGAAATGATAGTTTTCTTTAAAACGACATTATTGCTGTTGTACATGACTTGAAGACTTCTATGTAAGTTTAACCATTTTAGGATGCTCCTAGTATTAGTTCTATCGACTTAGGTCGCTTGTTCTTCCTCATTTTATATAAAGAGCCATGAGCAGTGCTTAAAAAATCTGCTATCGGGACACGGTCAAATTAACCCTGTATATGGACTCCTGTTTTGTACTAGTTCATTTGTTTTTACAATTTAAAACCTGCAAAATTCCTTGTCTTCATTGGAATGATAAAGAACAGCGACAACACGTTATGACTCGAGTGATCTCGGCCCCAACACAGTCATTCTATACAAATTGTGGACGTATTGAATTCCAGCTCTGTTGAAATAAGATGGTATCAGCTGTCTTCTATTAGTTCTTGTCTACTGACCTTCTCGGAAACAATTTAAATAGCGATTAATTTCTCAATTTTTAAGGCGGGTGTACAGTCGAATAATATAAAACGTATGTACAACTCAGCCTTGCGAAGGTCAAACGGGCAAGTTGGTCCAACTAAAGGTCGTGTTCACGGCTCTAGGCGAACAGCATCCGATTCAGTTACATGTCGAATATGATTAGGCCTTGCATGGAAGTTTCCTACCATAGCAAGTTCAAAAGTTCAAGGGCTTCTGATTTCTCACAAAAGTCTTTTATCATTTTAGATGTTTTAGGACATGTATGGAATCTTGAGACAAAATTTAGGTCCATATCAGGTGGTATTAAGTGTATTTAACTCATTCGGAATTAGTTCTGAGTTAGTAGTGGTAACACACTCGCCTTTCACCTAGCTGTCCGAGGTTCGATTCCCGCGTCGGACGTGAAAAGGTATTTGGTTACCCGCCCGACCACATCGAGTTTCCCCGCGGGTACTCTGGTTTCCTCTCACAACAAGACCCCTCGCGCACTTACATCCGGGCCATAAAGAGTGATTAGTATAAGTTGAAATAACTTTTTTTCGCAATTGTTGTAAATATTACTTCTGGGGTTCACGGACATTACATTAGTGTGTTTCGTAGTGCTAAGTGATCCAGTTAGATCGATTGAAAGGTATCGATACATATGAAACCTGATGTTCTACATACAGAATAGCTACACCATGATACATTTACATACCGGGTATAAACAAACCACTAATGGACCTTGGCGTATTTAAGCACTGACTTTGATATAGGTCCCATCTATATAAGTGACCATTAAAATGGTCAGAATAGATTGTCCGAATGATGTGTGGGATAACATTTTAACATCTCATAAAAATGTATCCAGTTTGCTTGTGGTAGATTTTCGTAGAATTTAGCGTGGGAAAGTACCCAAGGTGTATATGGAATCACAACACCTGGGTCCTATACAGGTAAAATGACGTCATCGTCATCGGTAATGACTACCTGGGTACTCGGTTACCTGCAGGGATACATGTTATGTTTGATACATGACATCCTGTCCTATTGAGTTCTGGATTGTGTGAAATCGCCATTTATCATTGTACCCAAACAGTTTAATTCTGGAGAGACGGAGTGTGTGAGAAGATTTAGAAAGTAGTTAATTAGGTGAGGGGTCATTATGTAACGGGTACCTCATTAAAGGGAGACATTTACATACCACATGTCTATAGAGGAATTTGATAGCAGCCAGGGAAATGGATCAGCCTTCCTATCAGGGAGTAATGTAAACAAACGGACCTTAGGGTCATCTCACTAGATACGAGTAGACGAGTATGTATTATGGTACCTTAGCTTTAATTCCGCCCGGACAGTGAGTCTGTAGTCTCTTGGATGTCGGATCGGTAATATATATCAGTTGATTGGATGTACACTATTAACATTTTCTATACGATTTCCTTACAGCTTGCTGACGTGACATAACTCTTCATTTTTTGTCGTTGTGACCTAATCTGGTCATTTTACGGCTATAGACGGACATTTTAACGCAGTCTTAAGGTATGACCGTTGATTTCATATGTATTTCGTCTTTATGTATATACATGCATGCTCGGCAATTCGCTCGAGGCGTGTAATTTGCATGACGATAAAAATCCACAAGATGTATTTATAATCAGGAAAGACAATTTTATAAATTTAGATTTAATTGGTGTCGTTAAGAATTAACTTTGACATGTCAAAATATTTATTTTCAGCTTAGCTGTTTTTCATGCATATTACATTTGTATTCATAAATTGTTCATTAGACGTTCGCATTGTATCAGGTGTTTCTGGCTCCAGTTTGTGGTTTCAAATATTAACAATATACAGCTTTTAATTTCTGTTGACAAGGTACGATGCATTACAGTCAGGGTGAAAAGAATGTTTGTTTTTGACTGATGCCTTTTGTCTTGATTCCGCAGAATTTAAAATTCTGATTAGACGTCAAATTTTTGTGTATTTGTGTCCTGATTACATGACATTATTTGTGTCCTGATTACATGACATTAGTTGTGTCCTGATTACATGACATTGTCTGTGTCCTGATTACATGACATTAGTTGTGTCCTGATTACATGACATTAGTTGTGTCCTGATTACATGACATTGTCTGTGTCCTGATTACATGACATTATTTGTGTCCTGATTACATGACATTATCTGTGTCCTGATTACATGACATTATCTGTGTCCTGATTACATGACATTGTCTGTGTCCTGATTACATGACATTAGTTGTGTCCTGATTACATGACATTATCTGTGTCCTGATTATATGACATTATCTGTGTCCTGATTACATGACATTATCTGTGTCCTGATTACATGACATTATCTGTGTCCTGATTACATGACATTATCTGTGTCCTGATTACATGACATTATCTGTGTCCTGATTATATGACATTATCTGTGTCCTGATTACATGACATTAGTTGTGTCCTGATTACATGACATTATCTGTGTCCTGATTACATGACGTTATTTGTGTCCTGATTACATGACATTAGTTGTGTCCTGATTACATGACATTAGTTGTGTCCTGATTACATGACATTATCTGTGTCCTGATTACATGACATTGTCTGTGTCCTGATTACATGACATTATTTGTGTCCTGATTACATGACATTAGTTGTGTCCTGATTACATGACATTATCTGTGTCCTGATTACATGACATTGTCTGTGTCCTGATTACATGACATTATTTGTGTCCTGATTACATGACATTAGTTGTGTCCTGATTACATGACATTATCTGTGTCCTGATTACATGACATTGTCTGTGTCCTGATTACATGACATTATCTGTGTCCTGATTACATGACATTATCTGTGTCCTGATTACATGACATTATCTGTGTCCTGATTACATGACATTATCTGTGTCCTGATTACATGACATTATCTGTGTCCTGATTACATGACATTAGTTGTGTCCTGATTACATGACATTATCTGTGTCCTGATTGTATGGCATTATCTGTGTCCTGATTATATGACATTATCTGTGTCCTGATTACATGACGTTATCTGTGTCCTGATTACATGACGTTATTTGTGTTCTAATTACTCGACATTATTTGTGTTCTGATTACTCGACATTATTTGTGTTCTAATTACTCGACATTAATTACTCGACATTATTTGTGTTCTGATTACTCGACATTATTTGTGTTCTAATTACTCGACGTTATTTGTGTTCTAATTACTCGACATTATTTGTGTTCTAATTACTCGACATTATTTGTGTTCTAATTGCTCGACATTATTTGTGTTCTAATTACTCGACATTATTTGTGTTCTAATTGCTCGACATTATTTGTGTTCTAATTGCTCGACATTATTTGTGTTCTAATTACTCGACATTATTTGTGTTCTAATTACTCGACATTATTTGTGTTCTAATTACTCGACATTATTTGTGTTCTAATTACTCGACATTATTTGTGTTCTAATTACTCGACATTATTTGTGTTCTGATTACTCGACATTATTTGTGTTCTAATTACTCGACATATGCATATTCCACGGCACAATTAGCTGATTTATCCTGTAATTCAGCCTAATCATGCCGTATTATTTATATATTTGTCCTGATAAAACGATATTATTTGTATATTTAAAGGTTACAACCAACGACTAGAGGACTATTTCTACATAACTAAAACACTACATTTCACCATGACGACAGTAAACGGGGTGTACACCCCCAGCCCCACACCGAAACCCCATCCCCGGATCAGACCCGAGGCTGAGGAATACGCCAACAGAAATCGTGGGGGCATGGACAAATGGTTCGATTATTCACAAAATACTAGTTACGAGTCGCCACGACCCATGGAACGACTACGTTCGGACGACGCACGACGTAACGCCACCACCAATAAAGGTTGTATGAATGAACTTCTGGGAGGTTACGCCGACCCACCGGCGGATAGAAAAATTCACCCTCGGGCTGTCAGGGGCGATGCAGCGGAAACGGCGCAAAATGATAAAGGTGGGGCCATGAGGAACTTAATGGAAAACTATGGCAATTTAGGAATTGATTCTAAACCACCTCCAAAGGTCAAAGGTGATTATGCGGAGGAATATGCCGAGCGGAATCACAACGGTAAAATGGAGACATTGATTAATCACTATGGTACGCTCCCTACAGACCAGCCCCCAGCCCCTAAGGTATCGTACGGTGGTGAGGAAGTGGCTGAAAAGTATAAGGGTGCTGGAATGGGACCCCTCCTCAGACAGGAAGAAGAAGCTTACTATCAGGAGCCCAAAGTCAGCCGACTCCATCAGGCGTCGGAAGGGCCTGGGTAAGTCCTCATTATGTTCGGCTCTTATTGGTTAGGGCTTAGTTAGTGACATATTTTCCGTCTCTTTTCCTCTTTCTATCACCAGGCGTTGTCACCGACGGAATGTCAGTGTTTCTTGTGCCAGTGAACGTTTATATTGACAACGTCACTTCCGGTCCTTTTTCCTCTAAATGGTTTCATAACTTTAATGTAAATGTCGGTGTACAGGGCGAGGGGTTGTTCATGTTTGCATGATCAGTGAGACCCGGTCTTATTTCTCCTATCTAGAACAGGCGTTGATTAAATTGCTGGGAGCTTTTGGATTTAATTAGAATATGTACTTCAGGCAATCAGCTCCGCAGTTTTGTATCATGATATCTAGTGTATATCTACAGGAGGAACATTCTGATTTTACTTATCTTCTTCATTATCTGAAGTGTTGTATATTTTCCTGCATAAACCCCAATCACCAGCATTATACAGATAATCCAATTCAACACATTGCAACACAGCTGTCTTACTGAACTCTTTTTATTAACAATTCTACACTTCATCGGTTAATGATACAATGCTCGATATTTTAGATAACTCACCTAAATCTTGTCAGCACTGACTGATATCTGTAGAAAACAACATTTAAATACTTGTCAATTTGAGGCCCTTTTTTCCAAAGTTCTTTTCAAACATAAAAATTGAAATAGCAGTTCGACAAAGGGCTGCATATGCTACACATCCGCTTTGCTTTACTGGATTTAACACCGTCGCTATTGTCTTATGAAGACCGGTGTTAAAAGATGCCACAGCGATTGCAAAATAAAAAGCAGACACGTCTGTAGTTTGTTTCCTAACACACTTCAACTTTTCAGTGTGGAATTTGTGTCGCGGATGAAGCCAAAGATTTTTTATTAAGAGTAATATTTTACTTTTATCGCGTTTAAGTCTTCCGTCATTTACATTCTATAAATTACATTTTAGAGTCTACTTAATGGAGGGATGTACTAACCTTCCTTGTGGTATGCGAGAGAATTTTGATCTTTATTTCTTTGTCTTACTGATCACGTGCAGCGAGGGTAATTAAGTTACAAGTCCGTTGTAATACCAGTCTGACATGTGATCTGGTTTCATACCGTATAACTTCTGGAGCAGCCAATATCCTAGTACGCTAATAGACTGATAGCGGTGTTTATATTTAAAATGGCCTTTCTATAACACAGGCGTTTGGATTTTGATATGTTCTTGAATTATCTGTAACTGTTTACTAGTAACGATCAAATACGTGAACTTTGATCAGCTTGATGGTAACCGTTTTGTGACACTAGGAATTCTAGTTAATGCTAATATAAATACTGCCACCATGTCATCACTTGTGGTGTCGGTAAGATTAATTATGATTAACGACCTCGGTGAAATCCATATCTCGAAATTAATTTGAAATTTTGTGTAGGTCAACTTAGCGAACTTGTGTGGTATGTGCAATTATAAGGTCCATCATTTCTGCTCTAAGAGATTGCCATACAGTGTATAACGATTTGAAATAGGAAATCGAAATATCGTCAATAAGTTGTGTAGTTGAAACCTTTTGGGTGCACGGAACAAGCATATACCGATTGTAGTATCGTTTCTTAATAATGTTACACTGAACACAACAGAGTGTAATTAGTGCCGTAATAACGTCACACTAAACACTACAGTGTAATTAGTACCGTAATAACGTCACACTAAACACTACAGAGTGTAATTAGTACCGTAATTACGTTGCACTAAACACTGCAGTGTAAATAGTACCGTAATTACGTCACAGTGAACACTGCCGAGTGTAATATGTGCTGTAATAACGTCACAGTTAGCACTGCCGGGTGTAATTAGTGCCGTAATAACGTCACAGTGAACACTGCCTGGTGTAATTAGTACCGTAATTACGTCACACTAAACACAGCCGGATGTTATTAGTACCGTAATTTCGTCACACTAAACACTGCCGATATTATTAGTACCGTAGTTACGTCACACTAAACATTGGAGTGTTATTAGTACCGTAATTACATCACAGTGAACGCTGCCGAGTGTAATTAGTACCGTAATTACGTCACACTAAACACTGCTGGGTGTTATTAGTACCGTAATAACGTCACAGTGAACACTGCCGAGTGTAATTAGTACCGTAATTACGTCACACTAAACACTGCCGAGTGTTATTAGTGCCGTAATAACGTCACAGTGAACACTGCCTGGTGTAATTATACCGTAATTACGCCACACTTAACACTGCCGTGTGTTTTTAGTACCGTAATTACGTCACAATGAACGCTGCCGAATGTAATTAGAACCATAATAACGTCATAGTGAACACTGCCGTGTGTTATTAGTAATTACGTCACAATGAACGCTGCCGAATGTAATTAGAACCATAATAACGTCATAGTGAACACTGCCGTGTGTTATTAGTACCGTAATTACGTCACACTAAACACTGCCGAGTGTAATTAGTACCGTAATAACGTCACACTAAACACTGCCGAGTGTAATTAGTACCGTAATAACGTCACACTAAACACTGCCGAGTGTAATTAGTACCGTAATAACGTCATAGTGAACACTGCCTGGTGTAATTATACCGTAATTACGTCACACTAAACACTGCCGGATGTTATTAGTACCGTAATTACGCCACACTTAACACTGCCGTGTGTTTTTAGTACCGTAATTACGTCACAATGAACGCTGCCGAATGTAATTAGAACCGTAATAACGTCATAGTGAACACTGCCGGGTGTAACTAGTACCGTAATTACGTCACACTAAACACTACCGAGTGTAATTAGTACCGTAACAACGTCAAAGTGAACACTGCCGAGTGTAATTAGTACCGTAATAACGTCAAAGTTAACGCTGTCGAGTGTAATTAGTACCGTAATAACGTCAAAGTGAACACTGTCGAGTGTAATTAGTACCGTAATAACGTCAAAGTGAACACTGCCGAGTGTAATTAGTACCGTAATAACGTCAAAGTGAACACTGCCGAGTGTTATTAGTACCGTAATAACGTCAAAGTGAACACTGTCGAGTGTAATTAGTACCGTAATAACGTCAAAGTGAACACTGCCGAGTGTAATTAGTACCGTAATAACGTCAAAGTGAACACTGCCGAGTGTAATTAGTACCGTAATAACGTCAAAGTGAACACTGCCGAGTGTAATTAGTACCGTAATAACTCTACAATGAACTCCACCGAATGCAATTAGTGCAGTGCCACAATATCGCTACACTGCATACCGTCGAATGTAATAAGATTAAACACTTCCGAATGTAATTAGTACCGTAAATATGCTACACAAAACATCACAGGATGTTATTCATACCGTAATGTTACTACACTATACACTGTTAATTACACTGTACACCGGCGGATATTATTAGTACTATAATAACACTGATTCGCATTATAGGATATATGCCGATATCGTCACTAAAATTTCATAAAATTCCTTTATCTGCTTTCTGAAATCAAAGCTTGAGTATGTTGGTTCAATTTCATTTCTGTCAAACATATAAAGAATCTAGGAATTCCATCTGTTATAACAAATTGAAACATGAATGACATAGACCTTGTTCGTAAAACTGTTGGCCATTATAAATTGGGTGTTTTATAGCGAGCATAACACAGCGTATGTGACAGTATAATATGAGGAACTGCATTGAAATCATTACGTGCACACACCTATTAAACACAGATTAAATTTCCCCTGGATTATGTACATGTACACTACAAACAACGGATACCCAATACACAGACGGCTATACCCGATAATCTGGAAGTCAAGTGGAAACTCGTAAATTATATTGGCAGTGTTTGCTTTGTACTAGGTAAATGAATGCTCCGATTTATAGTGCGATGTTTGAAAAAACGTAACTTTATTGCTTAAAGCATGAGCTCAACGATGTAAAATTACAGTATTTGCAGAAATTCTTAAAGTCTTATAAGAACACGACTAAAGATTCGGTCCATCACTGTAAATATGTATATGTAATAACGAAAGACCTTACAGGACATAACTATCATGAACACTATTAAATTACAGAATTCTATTGATCGAGCAAAATACGTCAACTTCACAAAAAGTTGGTATTGACATTGAAGACGTCAGCTCCTTGTAACATGATATATTCCTCCGTTACTGACAGCAGTACATTGGTTTCCCTCTTTTGTCTCTTTGTCAAACAAGATTACGAGAGAGGTCAGCCAAACGAAATAATGACTGGTTACCAAGTGACTGGAAAGATGTCCCGCTTTTCGTGCCAGAAACCCCGGATGTCATTCAAATGACCGCATAAAATATTACTGAAACACGTTAACGTTTGTGCGCCTAATAATGAAAGTTGTCAAGTGAAACTCGTAACATAGCTTGGGCCAATAAGATTAGCAAAATGCATCTACCGTTTCAATGGAAATGCTGAAGCTCTTTTTCCCCTTTTTTGCAGATGGGATGAGAATCCACCGGCATATCGCACTAGACCGGAAGCGGAAGGGATTGCAGAGAAAAATTCCGAAACGAATTGCGACAAGCTGATGAGAGGGGAAGTGCTGCCCCCGACTGTGAGGACACCAAAAATGCCCCAACATTTGCAGGAGTCGGAAACACCGTAAGTTTGGGGTGATCAATGAATAATCATGTGTATCTGTTCTAGTCCACTTGTAAAAGTCGTATTCTAGTGAACTAGTGAGATTTATCTTCTTTCGGCGATATCTTCATGAAACTTTGAGAATAAATTCTCAGTTTTACTGAGTAATTATGATGTTGGCTCCAGTCACTTGAAGTGTGTCTTATAGTTCTCGGAAAACATCTCCATTGACATCCAACAGGTTCTTGATTTTAAGTGAATAATTGTTTCTCCGTTAGTTCTCAAAAATAAATAAATAAATCCCGATTGACTTTCAGTAGGATGTTAAGTGTATCATAATTTAAGTTAAAAGAGCTTCTTGTAACCAAGTTTATATGAAATGTTCAAGGATATCTCAACTTTCATTCGTTACTACATAGTGTCAGTTCGGTTAAAGTCTACATTACTAATCAGTAAATACAGAGACGTATTATATACGTCTCTGGTAAATATGTGATTATAACAAATAAAATTCTGCAATTTTTATTTGTGATCTCTGATGGTTGGACCCAAATCTCTCAGGAATTCTCTTTTATCGTCATGAAACAACATGATGAAGGTGATCGTTTGGGAAGGCTTGCTTGCTTTTAGCTGCTTCTCCCTAAATATAAACAGAAAATGGGTATGTGTTTATTTTCATAATCACGTTATACAATCTCTATATTTTTCTGTTTACAGAAGACCAGTGACATCTCCACTCAGAACGAGGCCGGAAGGGGTCACCAACTTCCAACGAAACCAGAATGGTTCCGAAATGGCGGCCATAATGAGGGGCGAAAACAAAAGTTCAGCAGCTCCAAAGAAGATGAATAGAAATCTAGTTAGGTCTGAGAATTGGTGAAACTGTCTCTAGTCACTGGCACACTGAGAGAATGGAGTTATCTGCCCGTGTAGTCAACAGGTGTTACAAGTAATGTAACTACGCAAAGACACCTAGTGGCAAGAATTCAAATGACAATGAGAAAATTTGAGCTGGTCGTGAAAACATTTTATCCACTCAAAGGCAGTGAGATATGTTTTAAAATATGATTCTTTAATATGCGTGGATATTGTATAAAATGAATAAAACACGTACATAGATTAATTTGATAAGTGGAATATCTTATTTCAATAATCATTTTAACTGATTGCATATCAAATCAAACTGTATTTGCCTTCTATGCAAAGAAATTTGTCCATTTTCGATAAATTGCTTAAAGTTATTTTTATACATTGTCCTTGTACCAGGTATGCCATTTTTTCCTTAACAGTACAAGGTTTTTTAAAATTGATTTAATACAGATTCAAACCACAGTTTATATAATTGTGTCTTTGTATATTTAATACATATCATGGTATGATAAAGTAATCCAATATTATTTTTATTGGAACACCTGCCTGAAATAAAGTTGTTATTCCTGTTATTCTATATATATTGATGTTTGTTAAAACTTGTGTAGTACTGTGTTCAGTAAGTGAGAAACCTCTAGCAGCCATTAGGGTACAATGTATATTTGATGTAATAACCTTCCATGTTTTTTTCAGTATGGATTTATCTGTATCTAATTCCCAATGTCATTGTGATGCATTTCATCTTGGTAATATTTGTAGATTTGAGTATGTTTGTAGTTTTATATAGATTTTTTTTCGGTTTTAATAGATATAAGAAGATCTGAGAAAGTTAGGAGACAGGGGAGATTAAGTGCCAGTTTTATGTCTGCTCAACAGAATATTACCCCGTTTGTGTGATGCATTTCCAGCATCACACATTTTAATCTCTGTAGTATATTCTCTCAACTCATCAGTATATTGATAATTTAAGAAATAGAAATCTCAAGTTAAAAACACACAATATCATTGTTGATGCTTCTAATTATTGTTTTATTGATTTTGCACAAAATTCCACAGTTGTTGTGTGCTTGTGTGTGTGATTAGGAAAGTAAGGGGCTTTGCTTGAGAGACTGTCAAAAGAAGCTAAATAGAAGGTGACAAGTCCCTGTGATTGAGGTGACTGCCAACCTAGCCTTTATGATGTTGGACAATTATGTGTTCATGTATCTTATAAATACTCTGTAAAATTATATTGTTTTTGTTTGCTTTTGTTTTGTCAGATTTGTTGGAAGAACTGTTAAGCATTGTTTTTGTAATTACAAACTGACTTTCTAGGTTGCCATTTTTCAAAACTTTATTATTAAAAAAAAAATTCTCTCTTATCTTTTTCACTAAAAACTGATAATTCTATAGCCTATTTCTAAATGTGAAACCAGGGGCTTCGATGGAATGTATTCCAAAACCATGGTAAAAAATTGCTTCTATAGTCTGTTTCATAAAATGGTTTGTAAATTACCTGCTGTGATATGTAGTTTTAGTGGAGAAACAGACATGACTCAGTTCAGCTGTAACGTATGAATGTTACTCTTTATAACTGAAACTGTACTTTTTTTTAATCAGACTATAATCCTCTTGACAGAAGGTGCTAGTACTAACAGCCTTACTTAAACACATTATGAGTTTATAGAATAATTATTATATCAAAACATAATAAGTAAAGATCAGACTAAATATTGAAAATTAAATTTTGGTGATAGTGTATACCACAGGTTAGCATGGACTACAATCATTGTATCACCTGTAACAGGTATAAAGGTCATAGTTCAGGAACACCATAATGAAATATTTGGAAGATGTCTGCTGTTGACCAGTGATGGACCAAGAAGGTGAAGATGTTAACCATTTTACCTCTGAAATGGTCTGTGACATCTGCTGAAAAGAGATGGACCTGCCTTTGAGTGTGGGCTTATCCTGGTAAAGTTTGTTACATACATACATTTGTGAAACTTTCACAAAACGAATATATCATAGCAGATTAATCAGATTTATTGTATAACATTGTACCTGTATTTAGGCTAGTATCACTTTATTTAAACATGTATTAATTGAGATGTACAAAGGACAAGAATAGAAATGCTTATGTAAAGTCAGTGTATGATGAACTGAGGGCAGTGGGCCACCCAAGGAAATAAATGTAACTTACAGAATGTGTCAGTGTGTTTTATACAAAAAGAAACTTTAATGAAACAACCTAAGTGTAATATGATGACTCACAATGGGTTGACATAGTCTATCAAAGAAATTTCGTCAACATGAATCACTACTCTAAAACATTTGAAATTATAACAAGATCTACAGGTAATAATCAGTGGGTTAGGGTGTCGATATTCTCTTTGGGTTTACAAGGTCTCTCCGTCTGTGTGGATAAGGTCAATATTCGATCTATTTGGGGCTAGAATGTCATTGGTCTGTGGGATAAAGGTGTTGATGTTCTGTCTCTTTCGGAGTTAGAATGTCTGTCATTGGTCTGTGGGATAAAGGTGTTGATGTTCTGTCTCTTTCGGAGTTAGAATGTCTGTCATTGGTCTGTGGGATAAAGGTGTTGATGTTCTGTCTCTTTCGGAGTTAGAATGTCTGTCATTGGTCTGTGGGATAAAGGTGTTGATGTTCTGTCTCTTTCGGAGTTAGAATGTCTGTCATTGGTCTGTGGGATAAAGGTGTTGATGTTCTGTCTCTTTCGGAGTTAGAATGTCTGTCATTGGTCTGTGGGATAAAGGTGTTGATATTCTGTCTCTTTCGGAGTTAGAATGTCTGTCATTGGTCTGTGGGATAAAGGTGTTGATGTTCTGTCTCTTTCGGAGTTAGAATGTCTGTCATTGGTCTGTGGGATAAAGGTGTTGATGTTCTGTCTCTTTCGGAGTTAGAATGTCTGTCATTGGTCTGTGGGATAAAGGTGTTGATGTTCTGTCTCTGTCTCTTTCGGAGTTAGAATGTCTGTCATTGGTCTGTGGGATAAAGGTGTTGATGTTCTGTCTCTTTCGGAGTTAGAATGTCTGTCATTGGTCTGTGGGATAAAGGTGTTGATATTCTGTCTCTTTCGGAGTTAGAATGTCTGTCATTGGTCTGTGGGATAAAGGTGTTGATATTCTGTCTCTTTCGGAGTTAGAATGTCTGTCATTGGTCTGTGGGATAAAGGTGTTGATGTTCTGTCTCTTTCGGAGTTAGAATGTCTGTCATTGGTCTGTGGGATAAAGGTGTTGATGTTCTGTCTCTTTCGGAGTTAGAATGTCTGTCATTGGTCTGTGGGATAAAGGTGTTGATGTTCTGTCTCTTTCGGAGTTAGAATGTCTGTCATTGGTCTGTGGGGTAAGGGTGTTGATGTTCTGTCTCTTTCGGAGTTAGAATGTCTGTCATTGGTCTGTGGGATAAAGGTGTTGATATTCTGTCTCTTTCGGAGTTAGAATGTCTGTCATTGGTCTGTGGGATAAAGGTGTTGATGTTCTGTCTCTTTCGGATTTAGAATGTCTGTCATTGGTCTGTGGGATAAAGGTGTTGATGTTCTGTCTCTTTCGGAGTTAGAATGTCTGTCATTGGTCCGTGGGATAAGGGTGTTGATATTCTGTCTCTTTTGGGGCTAGAATGTCTCTTTCGGAGTCAGAATGACTGCGATTTTGGTAGGTAATAGTGTCAGTGTTCCTTCTCTTTGGAGTTGGAATGTCTTCAGTCTGTGAGATGCGGGTGTCAGTCTTTCGTCTTCTAAGTTCGAGTCAATCCTTTGTAGGGTAAGAATGTTGATCTTATGTCTGTCTATTTAGTGTCAATCTTTTGACTGGTGTAAAGATGTTGATCTTATGTCTGTCGGTTTAGTGCCAATCTTTTGACTGTTGTGAAGACGTCGATCTTATGTCTTTCGGGTTAGTGCCAATCTTTTGACTGTTGTGAAGACGTCGATCTTATGTCTGTCGGGTGAGTGCCAGGCTTCTGTCTCTGGGTAAAGGTATCAATCGTTTGTCTCTTTGGAGTATATTACTAGTGATGTGTTGAAAATATTACATGAGAGAATTCACTGGATAACGCGCCTATTATATGATAAAATTGTTCATAATATTAATCCATTTGATTTGTTGATAAATAGATTGGCAATGGCCATTACATCAACAGTATTACATTTATTACATTACACCAACTTTATAAATCTTCGTAGATTGTCGCTTGTGGTGGTCGGGTGGCGCAGTGGTAACGCACTCGCCTTTCACCTAGCCGATCGGGGTTCGATTCCCGTCACGGACATGAAAAGGTAAGGGTCACCTTCCCGACCACGTGGGTTTTCCCCGGTACTCCGGTTTCCTCCCACAATAAGACCCCTCGCACGCTTACATCCGGGCCATTAAGAGTGATTAGTAAAAGTTGACATAACCTGTTTCGCAATTGTTGTAAAATAAATAAAGTTTAAATTACCTCAGGATATTATACCGAACACAGGTCTAGGAGACCTCTCTATTCGGCTCCTTCTTTCTAATTGTTCCAAGTGGAGCAGCTCTATAGTCATAAATAAATTCCTCCCCTCGCCAGAACTTATCCAGTCTAGACTCAAATATTTTAAGGTTTGGAGCGTTGACAACGTTATCAGGCAGACTGTTCCAGGTGTTGATAATTCTAGAAGTGAATGAGAATTTACCAATGTTTTCTTTGCCCTGTGTGCTGTTAATTTATATTCATGTCTCCTAGTAGTACTAATATTCCGTTGGAGACTGATTGTAACATCCTGATCATATATGTTGAAAATTTTGTAAGTCTCTATCATATCTCCCCTCAGACGTCTATACACTTGTGTTGGGAGTTGACGTTTCTTCAGTCTGTCCTCGTAACACAAGTCTCTCAATCCAGGAACAAGTTTTGTTGCTCGACGCTGAAATTAATGTCGCTTTAATTTTATTCCAGACTGCAATAAATTCCGTGAAAGTAAGCACATGCTATATCAGCTATATCCAAACATTCTAAAGCATAAGTCCTGAAATAAGGAACAGAGCTTTGAAGGGGCACGTAAACTCTCTAATACGTCACCGCTATGAATTACTACAAGCTATCCCGTCATACAGTCAACTTAAACAACATTGGCATCGTTCTTAGGCATATTTTTTTAAAGAAAGCCTTAAACTTAAAATTTTCAAATGCCTCTTCCTATCCGTTGAAACATGTTTCTCAATTACATAAAAACCATTAAACGCCAAAAATTACGACTTACGACAAGTGGAGGTAGGGGGAGGGGGTGGGGGTGTAATTCCCAATTCACGTCCCAGGTTCTCAGGTTCCCGGTTCCTGGCGTTTTACTTCCGGTTCCTCCCTGTCTTCCAATTTCCTATTCAATATTCCAAGCTTACAAAATGGCATGGAACGGTTCTGTTTTAAAAGAATAAGTGGCAAGTTTGGCATTCACTTGAATTTATATTTCTAATGAAGAACTATTTTATAATTACTGTAATGAAATGAATGTAATTAATCGAATGAACTTGTTCTCAGTCTTTCTATGAACTCGTAAATTTATGGATCGTTTCTACAGACAGGTTTTCCGAAAAGTCGACCAAATGAATTAATCGCAAGAGATTTTGAGACAGGCACAAACGGAAACGGACTAAAATTCAAAACATGCAACATTTTAAAATTGTTTTTAACTGAAGACATTTCTCTGATAAAGAAATCTTTCTAAATTCGTCTTACTTCACCTATTCTTTCAATAGCGTTTGTTATATTGGGTATCCGCGATTCTTTTGTTCATTTGTGCTCCACGTTTTATCATTAAAAGTTTTTAAAAAACTTGTTAATTTTTTTCCATTATTATTATTATCATGTTACTTGTAATATTAACCTTAGCACCTTTAACAAAAATATTCATACTTTTGTTCTTGCATGTAACAATTTATTTCTTATTCGAGTTCCCTTTCGTGGGCCCCATATCAAGTCGGTTGAAGTAAATTTCCCATAATGCACCAATCTAATTCTAAGTCAGGACTGCGTTTGATTTGGATACAATTAGAGATTGGTGTAGGAACTAAGGAATGACCCGGACTCATTAGCGGACAAGATGTCTGCCTATCCGTCTCAGGAGTTTCGGCCTCTTAAAAAGCCGAAACTAGGCCCACCAGACGTGTATCCCCAAGATCCAAAGCAAAAAGAGGTAATGTATAGGTCTATGCAATTTGGTGATAGCTAAACTTACGTTTCATGATGCTCTGTTTACCAATAATTCGTTTTCAAATAACATGTTGAACAAAGACTGATTATGCAAAATAAATGGATTTCTGTTTTTGTCATTTTGTATTTATGTGGGTGGGCGTTAGATATTTCATGTTACATATACATAGACTGTTTGCATCGAAGGGAATGTTTTATCACCATTGTACTGAATGGACAAATTTACTGCCAACTTTTCTCGAAATTAATTTTTAGGTTCAGGAGGTTGGGAACATCCATGGATTTGCGAGGATGCCTTAAAAGTCTAACGTGTCCTTTCATTGCAGGATGAAAGCGACATGTATACCAATGTGTCTTGAGATCAGAGGAGAAAAATCCTCTATATGTGAGGGATGCGTTGGATTTGCAGTGCATTCTCGCAAATCCAAGAATGCACCAATCTGTTCATTATTTGTAGAGTACAGATATTGAAAACATTATTTCATTTTCCTTTCTACGTTGTGTTATCTTGAACTTGTTGGCGTTTGTCGAAACCTTGAGAAAATACCATAGTGAGCAATTAACCCACATAACAAACCTTTTGCTGAATGATCTCAAGATGATATTCTTAGCTTCCCCCAGGCATCACTCTCTGTCAGGATGGTGTGTTTCTATTGGTAGATGTTATTTATTCAAAGAACAACTGAATAGGTGAAATTTCTATTGATAATTGATAGGTCATATTTGCATCTCAATATTGTTATAGAAAGTTTCAAATATGTATATATGCAAGTAGATGGTGGGAAAGGTCTGACTATTCTTGAAAAATGTTGGTCTCTGTGATGAAGTCTTGATCACTAGTTAATATTCATAATGATATAAAACAACACAAATTTGATGAACATTCACTCTCCTTAAAAATGTTTAGTAATACATTCAACAGGTCTACTTTTTCCAATTATTTAATTTGCTGCATTTCCATTTTAATTCAAGAAAAGATGGACAGGCTTTTTTGTAATTACATTAACTCATGGAGAAAAATGACTGTTTATTGATTCATATGCGATTTATAGTTTCAAGGAAAAAGAATATCTATACCGTCAATTCCTTATGCAATTATTTGTACTTGTCTGTATATGTTGTCTTTATATAGGATGAATTGACATCAGCAAGTGTGAAGCATGGTTTTATCAACAGCCAAACTTTTGGTGATGAGGTAAGTACTTTCAACAAATCAACAGAAGTAATTCATAGACAATAAGTATTTAGTCAAAACATTTCTTTCAAGCTTCATTTGTTGCTGACATCTGCTGTTAAATTGATAGACTTAATCATTTGAATATCAAGTAACCATAAAATTGATGTTTTTATTTCAAAAATATTACTATGTGTATATGCATATATATCATAATTAGTCTTTAGACTTTAGTCTAGAATTGTTCAAAATCTACCCACAGTTTTATGCTCGAGTATGGTTGGGGTGGTTATAATTTGTTTACTTTCCTTTGTAAGCAGCCTGAACCTGTAAATCTAATATTTACCACAGTATTAATTACTATGTATAACAATTACTCATATTAACGATTTATTGTTATAGTATGGATCAGCTCGAAGAGAAAACATCAACCAAGAACAGGTAAGGCTTAAATTTTTGTTTCCTTGTTTGTGTATCAGTCATACCAGCAGTTCATAGTGCATGTAGTACTCTACTGACTATTTCAAACAATTCATTTATCTACACCTGCAGTAAATGATTTCAAAATATCCTAATTATCAAAGTTTCTAAAGTTTACGGTTTTACATTAAAATTTGCAACAAAATGGTGAATGGCAACTATCAGTTTTGAAAATTTTTGAGCCAAATACGATATTACTATTAAATGCTCTCATTAAAAAAAATGTCAATTAAAAAGTGGTATTAGACATTTTTAACAATTTGATCACTTCATTAATTTTGCAGCTTAATGTATTGGATGAGATGAATGAAAAAGGAAACTATCCTCATATCCCACTATTTCAATTATAAAGAACTGATTGGATTATCTATAAAAATTGATATAAATCAAATTGTGTTTTACACTTACTGTTTATGCAAATTTTGGGACAGCAGAGATATCTTTATAGCTAAAATAATAGGTTGTAAGGTTAATTTAGTCATCCTAAAAATACATGTGCATGTATACTATAGAACCAATATATTTAAAATCTGACATGTTGGAGTGAATAATTATTTCAGTGTTTATAGGTCTTTGGAATCATGGTTGGTGTTGCCATGATATGATACTGTGCAATTCTGTCATATTGGACAAGCTTATTTCATGAGGATTTACTTTAGAGAAAGACATGAAAATGAATGTACATGTCTGCTTATATGAATGTTAAATTTGTGTTTTTTATTTTTTTGCAGTTTGGAAAAGAATTTATTTCAGTATTGGATAAGAAGAAAGATGTCAATACATTTCAAGATACATCTAAAAAGAAACAATGTCCTACCAAAGACAATTTTTGGCCGGTAAGTTTTTAGGAAATATCAATTCTTCCAGTGGTAGTGTAAGTCACATTCCTAAATGTATTAATGAACTGAAAATACACTTGTCAATGTATCAGAAAAATTCCAACCTCAGAGAGAAATGACAATTACAAAACCTGAGAAATGATGAGGTACCAATAATAAAACATTTGGAAAGACAAGAATCTTCCACAGAGTAATCAAATCCATATTGGCAACATTGAGTGTATATATTACAGTTCATCGTTAGGTAAGTTCACAACAAAAAGTTCTGGAAATCACAACATTAATATGAAAGTAACATCCCTTCACATAATTTATACATTATTTTAGGTTATATACAGATATAAAGAAATCTATGATGAGATTGCATTAATTGTTCAACAGAGGTAATACCAAACTGGCCAAGCCCCTCTCATTCCAGATTGATGTCACATTTGTTTGGCTGTCGTATCACATGACATTTTTTTGTTTCGCTGGTACATGTATTGGACACATGTTTGGTGAATTTCATAATTCTGTGATCTACTTCTTTCACTCATAATGTTTCCTTCATATTTCCAATTTGATGGTCTAGGCTGCCAAAAACAAGAATGCTATGGAGGCATGGTTTAAGGACTTGGCTGGAAACAAGCCATTATTCCAACTGGGAAAGAAGGTATGTTACAAACACTGCCATCAAAACTTGACATATTATTTTGACTTATATTAATGCTGGTATTTTATTGTACTTTTTTGTCTGTCTAAACATTGCACAATTGGCAGTAGTTTATATTTGATAATATTGGATGCTTGGGAAGTTAACTTATAATAATTGTTTAACTGTGAAATTTTTCAAATGCTTATTTTTCTTTCACTGTCTGTACTTGGATATACAGATATTTTTATCTATACACACAAATTGTACAACATTGATTCCCTGGCCTTGAATTCAAATAACTAATATTTCTACAAATTTTCATTTTTTGTTTAAATTTTTGCTACTTTTATTCCATATCTTTTCTCTAGGTTCCTACATTTAACAAAAGAGACGAGCTATTTTCCACCCTATGTGAGTTCTCACTGCCTATGATGAAGGCAGCCTGGATGGTGAAGATGACTGCAGCCTACAACACTGCCATGCAAGAGAGTAAGATTAAGAAACGACAGATGGTGGACCAATCTGTTGGTGAGTGATAGCAATGGTTTTGACGATTCTAAATTCCTAAATGTATGTGTTTGTTCATTCAGTCTCCTTGAAGTGTTGGTTACGTTGAAATATCGAAGAATCAGGAGACATTGTCACAAGCCTTTCAACCCACATACATTACAGACATTGGACCGAAACCAAATTATAAGACTTCTTCTCAAAATAATGAAATAAGGAAAATTGAAAATGACCTCTTAAATAGTATTTTCGTTTGTTGTAGTGAATTGTCTTTAAACTCTGTTTTACTAATTAACTGCCATACCAAAAATCAAGGCAGTCCAAGACTTTCTGTATCTTTTGAAGAAAAGTAGAAAAAAAATTGACCTGAAAAAAGTATAGAAACTAGAATGTTGTATAGTTGGTAGTATTCATGATAGATTGAAATTTACTGTAATTTACTGTGATTTAAGATAGCTAAAAATTAAAATCCATGCAAATATTTAACATTAATCAAAAATATGAGGAAATCTGTTATAAGCCTGTATATACAAATACCAGTGTATAGACATACATGAAATTACTGTGAACAAGCCCAAAGTGGGACAACATTGAAAAATAAGTCCTTTGATATTTAACTACTGTACAGTATCAAATCAAGTGTCATGTATTGTACAGATTGGTGCCAGTCACTGACCAAGTTCATGCGTGACCAGATCCAGAAGATCCAGGACCCCTACCACGGCACACCTGGGGGACCTACTTCAGGCTTTCTCACTGTCTCCACCAATACAAACATCCAAGTTGACCTTGATCTGGCCATTAAACAGTGGCACTACTCCTGTAAACTGGCAAGGCATATGTATGATGTAAGTGATTTACAACAACACCAACAAAGTATGTAATATAGCAGGGAGTTTATCTTGTTCACATTTAACTACCAAATGCTGTGTGTTTCTTGGGATAACTGAGTGTTTCATTCTGATTGAGTTCATATTCACACCCATAACATTACATGTTCCGCATCTGATAAGATTTTTGATGGTCATTGGTCAAGGTTATTGATCAAAGGTGACCTTTCTGCTTTCTCCTTGAGGTTTATTTTTCTGTGCACTGTTACCTATTGTTGTCATAATGTGGTAAGTGAGTCCTGGGATGGTGAAACGTTAGACTATACCATAGAACCTGATATCTTCACCTCAGTCCTATTGAAACTGGGCCTTTGCTCTCTGATATTTCCTTTTATGGATAATTGTTGTATGATGTTTTATTAATTGACACCTTGACAGGTAAAAATTGGTTACAGCAGATGTCTGGAATATTGTATTTGATTTAACATTTTTAACTTATGTAACCCCTGTTTATTGTCTTTTTGGAGAAGATAATGTTGGTTGTCCTATAAATACAGTATCACTGGTAGTTTTCAGGAGTCAAAATTTTTACTGTTTTCTTTTAAAACCATCAAATTATACTCTCAGTGAATTTAACCTTTTTGATTTGGATGTAAAATGATATCTAATAAATACATGTCTCATTACTTCAGGAATTAGATTTTCACCATCATGTTAATGCAAAATAGTGAAAATATCATCATCACAAATGTAACTTGCTATACAATATTGTAGTTAACACATGTAGAAGGGAAAATTCTAGAATAAAGTTCTGGGATTTAGAAAGGCATTGATACGTGTTGAATAGCGATACAGTTACAGGTATTCATATTGATACCATCATACAAAATGCACTTAGTAGTACAGTACTGTCACGATGAAATTAATGGAAATGTAAGTCCTGTAAAATGATTGAAGTTGATGCTATTAAATTTTGTGGTACTATTTGCTTGCTGATTCTATGATGTCAAGTAATTGATTGTACAGTAGCGTACACTGGTGATTTAGCCATGTCTGTTTGTTGTCTACAGGAAGGACTACTGGACCGTAATGAATTCCTTACATGGCTGATAGACTTGCTTGAGAAGCTTAAACAAACAGAAGATACAGTGCTTAAACTGGTCATGGCTCAGGTGTTACAGGTAAGTTTGACTGTAATCAAGGTTTTGTTTTTAGATTTATGACATTTAGTGCAGGATTAACAAAACTTGAAGCTCCATTGAATAATATGACCAGCAACAATGTGTTGTGTACATAGATGTATTTTGGCATATTTATCATCACAACTTCTTCATTGTGGATGTTGGAGTCATGGAATTAGGACTTGTTAACATTTTTTTAACTTTTAAAACTTGAAAACACTATAGCATACAACCTGAAAACCTGTATGATATAGCATAAAGCCTGATGTAAGATTAAGTGTACAATCTGATGGAAGTTGAGGCATACAGCCAGATGAATGTTGACTGATTTATTATTTAAGGTTAAAGCAGAGAAAAGACTCACCTGTATATAATGTTGGTATCCATTTTTTGTTGTCAGTACCTGGATGAAATTACGATGTCAGTGCTATTGTCTCGTCGCTTGGCTTTCTTTGCTGCAAAGAAGATTGCCCAGTTATGTGGAGATTCTGGAGGGGCCTCACCCCAAACACAATCACCTATGGTTAACAGTACTGGCACCACGTAAGTACCAACAATTCTATTCTTATGTAAGAGGGTTAAACTTGTGAGGTGTTTACTGTATAACACCACAACTTGTGAGTGGCAAGTTTTCAGTTTTAACTTAAGTGCTCCAAAATATCTTGATATAACTAAAAACATTTATTTGTGTTCTAGAAATCAGTGTTAAGCAAGTGTTTTAAACTGGGTAGTAAATTGCTGTATGATTAGTGAAATGTTGAACTATTCGATTACAGTATAGCTGCAGCCAATGGTAACATGGCCATGCCTCAGAACCCACTGGCAGCTGTGTTCTCCCAGTACAACAACTGTCCTCAGCATCGCGGCATCATCCTAAGTCTGAGTGCCACTCTCCAGGTTATCACCCTGTTGTGTCCCACCTCTCTCATATGGAACACGCTAGGTGACAGCAAGACAGCATCATCTGTACTGTGTGGGTCAGCTCTCGACCTCTTGCCATGTGCTCCCTCAAGTTTACCCATGCCACCAGGTCCAGAGAATCCCCAAGTATGTACAAAAAATTAGTAGATTTATTCATTGTTCTGGGCTCAGTTTTTGAAAACTCTTTTTTTCATACAAAACGCAATGTTAATCAAGACTGTCAATGAAAATGTAAAATTATCAAATATCATTATAAGATCAAAGCCAGGAGGAAAAGCTGGTTCTGAGATTAACATGGTAGTTAAAGTTTATGTATATGACTTATATATACATAGTTTACTTAAAAGTAGTAGCTTTGCTGATGATTAAGTCTCTGCATTTTCTCTAGATACGAGCTCAGATCCGGGCAGTGGAGAACCAGTTGAAAATGCGTGGACGTGCAGCAGAGGTGCGCTGGTCTTCTGACAAATGTCAACAGTCCACTAGAGGTGAGATACTACATCCAGTTATTTGTCAGGTATTCTTTACATTTTCTCTCAGATGCCAGCGATTTATCAGGGTAAGATTGTCCATTCAAGGATAATGTCAATTGTTTGACTGCATTAGCTTAGTTGGTAGAGCATAAAGTGAAGATCTCAAGTGTGTGGTTAGCTGAGCCCTACTCGTGGTAATTTTTATAATACCTGATAAATAGACTGGTCTGTGCTGTCCTGTTAATGGTCTTGGCCAAAACTTTATTCCCAAATTGCTCTGGATTCTGTACAACAGGCCTCTTCTATGCTGTTCACTGAGGTAGCCACCAGCTACCACAAGGAGTCCTTGCTCAAAATGACTCTGGCTGTTTACAAGGTGATAAGCCCAGAAACAAATACCTGTTGTCAAATAAGAACAGGGAACACATGCTAAAGAGTGTATCACAGATCTTTGGTTTACCAGTAACACACATAGACTAGACATTAATATTGATAAAAAGTGCAACACTAGAATTTCTAAAGTTGTAAGCAAATTAGCTCTCAAAAAACATGAACTATCACCCAGTGATATCTTGGTTGTCAGTGGTCATCTAACCATAAAACACCCGCGCAAAATGTTTAACATCAAACCAATATATATATCTATTTCAATGTAGGTTTCTTGTCAATTGGAAATGATCAGACATCTGTAAAACATAAAAATCAGTGGGTATATTATTGATAAACTTCAAGGTTTGTTTGTTAAATTTATTGTTAACTTCAAAATGAGAAGTGGTGAAATTTCAAACAAGTACAAACCTTCTCTGATGTTTTACAAAAATAAAGGCATGGTTATAAAATAATATTGATAATTCATTTATGATCAGGTTTTACCATCAGTAAGAGACTGGAGGTACTGGACATGCTTGATAGACACAACTTTGACAAAGTGGACAGCAACAACTCACTGGACACTCTATATAACAAAGTCTTCTCTCTCCATCAGACCAAGGAAGGTGTAGAGGTAATGCTAGACTTTATTTTATATGAGTTGTAAAGAAAATTCAGATAAGAAAAATAACGCATTGGTGAATTAAGAAAACCAAAATTTTCTGATTGTTGTTTTGTGTCAATGAATATTGATGAAGCAGACATTCATTGATTTATCCTTATGGGGCTAATCTAATAAACTAAGCCTATCCTTCCCCAGCATACTCCCCAAACCTTTGTCCCCAGCCCTTCCCCCACCCCTCAAGAGTGAAGCTGTTCAGTATAACTTTTCCAAGTGTTTCTACATTAATGTCTCTGTGCTTTGATCTCCAGCCAATACTTGCCGATGAACCCATCATCCACCTACTGATCGATTGGGCTGTCAGTACACAGAGGACTGGCAACTACCGTGCAGTTGTGGTCGCCAAACTTCTGGAGAAACGGCAAAATGAGCTTAGAACTGAGGTAAGCTAATAAAATACCTCTTATTTATGCTGTTTTTGTTTTGTGGAATTTACATGTTCACTAGGGTGTTCATGTATGAAATAAGAACAACATTTACAATCATATAGAGAAAATTGTTTGTCCACGTAATACAAGACGATGATAGCCTTCACAATCATTTTAGAAACAGAAGATTTGACTTAGTTGTAAATGTGAATGAAATAATTTTCTACTGACCACTTCCTTGTGAATAAAATAAGAAAACAATGTGTGAATTGTTGAATAACAGTATTTTTGGCTGTAACTACTCTTTTCTCTTAGTGACTGTGTAAATACATTGGATATTCACAAGATTCACACTTAGGCATGGAGACAAAGACCTAAATGATCTCTGTCAGATGGTTTAAAACAATTTACAATTCATTTTTCTTTTTATAGAAATTTGGTGACTCAGATATGATAGATGACAAAGATTCGCTAGGGTCTGATGCCATGGTCCCCTCTGGACTCCCTGCCTTTCAGAGTCTTCTCATGAGCTTTCTGGATGAAAGAGCACCAGTTCTAGGTAATAAATATGATGTTGATTTCATCAGGTAGATTAATAAGTGATAAGACTAGTTGTTCATTTCTTCTTACAGAATAATATAAGTATAATAAGTTGTGGAAATATTTTTTGATATTTTTGATTTGTAGCTTGTGTTTCTAATTTTTTCAGTTAGACTTTGAATCAATGGTATTTGTGACTTATCAAGTACTATTTATTATCTGTATCTGTCAGTAGAGTGTGTTATAAACAAAATGGATTGATGTTTTAGAAATTTTATGGTCTAGACTTAAGGGTACTTCCATCATATTTTAGTCTTCTCTGTATATTGGTCCAAATCTCTTGTTGTCTGATTCTTCAGCATAGGACTAAGGGAATTGTAGATAAGATTATAATACAGTGAATGTGACTGTGTACATTTCCATACAATACTGAAATATCAGACAACACTTATATTCAGAGTTTGTTATTATGAAATGATCAAGGGCCTCATTTCCATTCTTGCATTTTATATAAAGATTAAAAGCGAAAACAAACTGGCAATAAAGACTATTCTTATCCAATACTGATATCTTGTAACTTATTTCTTAGGTCTATTAATATTTTAAACATACAAACTTTATTTCAGATGACAGCCCATCAGATGACTGTAGACAAGGTTTTGCTAACCTTATACAACTGTTCTGTGAACTGATTCGTCATGATGTGTTCTCTCATGATGCTTATATGTGTACCTTGATTTCACGTGGTGACTTGTCCTCTCCGACAACTGTGCCCCAGATTGGTGTGGACAGCATGGACCTATCCAGCATCAAATCCCTCACTGAATCGATCAAGCATGAGGTAATGGTAGGTCTGCTTCCTTACTGAGTCAATCAAACACAAGGTAATGATAGGTCTATAGCTTACTAAGTCAATCAAACACGTGGTAATGATAGGCCTGTAGCCTTACTGAGTCAATCAAACATGTGGTGATAATAGGTCTGTAGCCTTACTGAGTCAATCAAAATTGAGGTAATGATAGGTCTGTAGCCTTACTGAGTCAATCAAACATGAGGTAATGATAGGTCTGTAGCCTTAATGAGTCAATCAAACATGAGGTAATGATAGGTCTATAGCCTTACTGAGTCCGTCAAACAGGAGGTAATCGTAAATCTATAGCCTTACTGAGTCAATCTAACAGAAGGTAATGTTTCAATACATTACAAAATTAGCTTTACCAACTGGATACATTTTTAAGATCTTTGTTATATTTCCTTTTTATGTTGTATGGTGATAATGTGATGCAATAACAAAGACATCACTCTTTTCAGCACCAGGATGATATTAAAGTTGATATGGACATCAACACGATGGAAAGTGATTATGTCAGTCTGTTTGACTGTGTCAAGGATGAACACAAACCAAGTCCTGAGGAGCCTGCCTCAGTCAAGTCTGTTAAGTCTGAGAAAGACCAGCCTATCCCCAGTGTTGGGGGTCACACACATGGAGGCATGGAGACCATACAACAGCCTAAGGGGCCTTCACGTCACATGATATACGCACAGCATTTCCCCATTCCTAAAGATGCTGTTCATGAATGTAATCAGCGTGGTATTGTTATGTATGGTGTAGGTAAAGCTAGGGATGATGCCAGACATTATGTTAAAAAGATCTCCAAGGAAACACTGAAATTATTCAGTAAGAAAAATTGTGTGGACACAGGTAGTGGTGACCTCGGGAAGGTCAAAAAGAGGAAGGAAAAGGAACCAGGTGACACATCTCTTGCAGCTGTGGTTACAAACTTTGACCAAATTTTTGAAGTAATTTTCGGGAAATACCAAAAACTTTCTTACTTTGATCAGCATGCAGTCACCGCTCAGTGTACAGATGCTGTACTTGAACAGATCAACAGCTTCACAATGGGAAACTCCAGTTATCTGCCCCTGGTCGACAATATCTCATATTTATTTGATTTGATGGAATACTCTCTCAATATATATGGTCTCCTGGATTTCTCTGTAAAGGTATGTATACTTACATATTTCAAAAAAGCTTGGGGGATTTTTGTGTCTTTGAATATATCAGAAATAGGGAGATCAAAAAGGAAATATTGAGACTTTCAGAATAATTGAATGGTGTTGTAACTAAAGGATATACATGTGTAAGTAGAGTATTTAAAGGTCAGGAGAACTTTTATTTATTTGTAGAATCAGTTTCATGTTAGTTGGACAAGATTTAAAACTCTGTGTATGTGTTTAAAAGTGATTCCTGTTGGTTTTTGAGAATATTTTTAATTAGAATTATGTATAATTGGTCCTTTGAATAAAAGCTGATGATGTTTGATCATTGCTGAAGTTTTCCCTTGTCCTAAGTTCACTGTATCCTAAAAAAAAAGAAGGAAAAAAAGAAAAGATTATTTAAGTAACTGTGTTCTTAAGAAAGGAAATAAATTAAAAATGTTTTTAATTTGATGTTTTAGCTACTGAAGGAGTTAGGTATGGTGGAGCACACATTGAGCAGCCAGAAATCAAGTCTAGCTGGAAACTACACCACTTTTCTCTGTCTCTGTATTGTGGGCGTGTTCAGGAAGTACCACCCCTACCTCCTTGTCTCCCAAGACCTCATCATACAGGCCTTCGAGGGGTTAGTATCTGTCTGGGGATGTTGATGTGACTTATAGCGAAAACAACTTGAGTCTGCGTAAACAGTTCTGATTTGTCTCTTTAAATGGGGATGATAATTTTGAAATTGTATTTTAACCATCTGTGCTGTCTGTTGTAGTTTGATTGGTGCAGTGAAGGATGTATATAATCCAGCAGTGTGTACATCGGCGGAGCGATGCATTCTGGTGTATCTCTACAATGCATACACCTCCTGCAGCTATTTACGGGTGGGTCTCCTGGATACCTTTGTAGACTACACACTTTAATCAGCTATATTTTGATGTGACTTCTGGATATTTTAGAAGGAGAGCACATTTTGATTAATTTATTGATCGATGTGGCTCCTGAAAATTTATGTGCTGTATTTGATAAACAATAAAACTTTTGCTGGTTTGTGATCAGTTATTACAGCTGTAAATTTGTTCAGTGATAGAAAGCTGAGATAAAGGTGCTGTAATGTGTTGATATGTGATTTGAGGAAGGTTTCATTCACAAATCATTTTTTCGACTTTCAGGATAAGAAGTCTGAAATGTTCAGTAATTCTTTTAAGAAGATAAAGATGACACTGTATGCAGACATTAATCCCTCTGCTTCTAACCTGCTGTGGGATCCCTCCTTCATGATGGACTTTATGGCCTCTGTCAAGTAAGTACAGAAATCTAACATGCATGATAAGTATGTGAGGCGTTAGAGGACAACAGCACAACCATGATTACACTGGTTATCTTGCTGTTTTCATAAATATTTGTTGATCTGTTGAATTTCATGTTTATAAGACTGCTTTATCGTACCACTGTTATACACAATAAGGAAAAGCAGTAGTTATATAATTTTATTATTGTATGGAAGCATGGCCAAAATTGCTTCATGATAAATGACTTTTGATTCAATCTAACCTTAATATTTCTATCAAATGGAAAGTTGATGAAGACAAAGGATCTAGAGTTCTGTCTAGTACTTGGACTTGGCACATATTTTAAACACACATCATTTTGCATTCTTAAATTTTAGGGTGATATCAATTTGTGGCATATCAGCACAATGATGAATTAGGGCAACCACAATAAGTGCTATATAAACGAAAGTATAGGAAATGAAAAGCACAAACATAATTAAGATTTTCTGAGAGTAAATCACTTTAATAAGATTATCACTGAAATAATGTATGCTTACACTAGTAACTATCATTGTGAATCTGTCAGGAATGTATTCACTGTCAAACATCATATTGCTAATCATTTAATGACTAAATAATCAGGGTTTAGGTATTCACTATTCACTTGATTCTTATGTTTCTTCGGTGCATAGTTTTAGAAATAACAATACTGGTTCTCATTTGTTTTAGATCCCAGCCAGACACATCGCTGACCAAACAGCTTTATGACAATCCAGCCAATCGCTACAGCTTTGTGTGTAATGCCATGCTCAATATATGTAACTCGCAGAAGGTTGATAGGTAAGTATTTAAATAGTAATTTGTAAAATAAAGATTTTATATCATGTAAGCAAGGTATGTTTAATTACATTTATCTGATAATAATGAAATGTTTGATAATAAGCATATTCACATCTACTGCAAACTCAATAGCAATCCTGCCTTATAATAAGCTGTACTCTCTACTTTGATACAGTTGTAAGATATTGACAAGCCTTGGGTTATTTTAGATACAGACAGGATGTGTGGAAAAGGTTTGTTATTACATAACAGTTTGTGATTTAGGCCAATTTTTATATTGTTTTTTTAGACTCAACAGTATCTCTGTGCTGTGTGCTGAGTTGACTGCTCGTTGTAACAGTTTAAGTTCGGAGTGGCTGGGAGTACTTCAGGCTTTGTGCTGTTCATCCAATCACAGCTGTGGATTTATAGATGTGCTTACACAAGTTGATGTATGTAGCTTGAATGCTGTCATCTGTTTTGTGAATGTGAAAGATAGCATAAGGTGAAATAAAGAAGGAAAGTCTTTAGCTGGGATATCTTCTCATCTTACAGTAAAGCATTTGAAATGTTTCTAAACAAGAGATAATTTGAAAATGATATATTTTTGAGAGAGAAAATTGCCTTTAATATGGACAATATTTTGATTAATGCAAGTTGATGATTGACACAGGTAGGTGATATGTCCATACACGACTCCTTGGCTGTGTTCACTGCCATCCTCATCGCACGTCACTGCTTTTCCCTGCAAGACTTGGTTGTCCATGTTGTTCTGCCATCACTCCTGGCTGCCAAACCATCAGGTAAGCCCATTTTGTCAGCTGCTGGCCATACTTAACATATATTTATATAAGTAGTCTCAGTGATAAAATTCATGCAACACTAAGTTAATTAACATTCAGTCTACTGTACTTCAGGATGTGCACAGTTTCCAACTATCTTAGTATGTGAGATGACTTGTGTGTTCCATGTCCCAAAAAACAGGGAACTTTGTATTTTCTGCTTTGAATCGTGGGATTACTATCATTTCAATTTTCTATTACATATCTCAATGTACACTAACTGTTGACAAGTATAATTCATTCAGATGGTAATATCTGTACGTTTCAAACTTTTTCATTTCTCTGTTGACAATTGTAGCCTCAGGTGACCAGGATGCAGAGCCAGGAGCAAGACTGACATGCCACATCTTATTGAAGCTATTTAAGACGTCAGAGGGACCACTTAGTTGGAAAAATCAACCGATGTATAATCGGGCTCCATCTAATATTAAGGCCTCATGTGACCGACACCTACTGGCTGCCGCCCATGATAGCATAACAGTTGGGCCTGTTCTAGCTGTACTTAAGGCTATGCTCATGTTAAGTAAGTTAAAAATTTTTGTGTGTTGTACAGATTCAAGCTAAAGAACAACTTAATTATTTATAAACTCATAATTTTAAAATTTGAATCAAAGCTTACTTTTTCCACTGGAGTGACATTTGTAGTGCTAATTAGAAAATTTCAAGCAGAGTTTTTGTAGTCATATATTTGGCTCATAGATGAGATCTTGAATACATAAGTCCTGGTAAAATTCTATGTTTGATTACTGATATTATTTGCTGTGTATCGTTGCCAGGTGACCAGACAACAGATGAGGTAAAGTCAAAATCTAATGCATCTAACAAGAAAGAGGAAAAAGGTGGAGACATTATCAGTACTCTGCTGAACAGTCTTGACAACGACGATGACAACATGATGTTTGGGTAAGAATTTGGCCTCTGACATGTCAATAGTCAATAGTGATAATTACCATTTCTGTGTATCGTAGGTTTTCAGTTTCCTTGGAAAAATATTGATGGACCTGGAATACTTCATCATCATACGGAGTTTGTTCATAAAGATTACTTATAAAGGTTTTATAGATGCTATATCAATGTGACAGCTTCATGAGTCTCCTCTTCGTCAGTTGATAATGTATTATAGATTTCCATTGATATATGAGTTAATAATTTATGTGATACCTTTACTGCAGGACATCCCAGTCTAAAGGAGGGATAGAAAGTGCGGGGTTGAGTGAATTTGCCAAGCATGCCTTGAAGGAGATGTGTGCACAAGACTGGGTTCAAGAAAAGTTCCTCAAGAATCCAGAGTCAGTCCTCAGCTCTGATCTTCTGCTCGATCCCATGCTCAGTAACAAACAGGCAAGTGATAATGGTTTCTACTACACACAGATTCATCTGTAGGAGATAGTGAAAACATTTCCCAGAAAGCAATAACTTCGATTTTGTATTATTTTGGTTAGTCTCCCATCTCTAAACCATTCTCTTTGTTATTTGGAGCCCATTTCCCATATTTTTATTGCTTAAGTTTGTAATTTACATCATCCCTGTATGATTTTTTGCCAGTTTTCAAGGTATTTTCTATTTCATTTTGTAATCTACACCTCCCCTGTGTGACTACAATCCCAAATAATCCAGTTCTTCGCTGTTCTAGTTGTTGACCAACTCCCTCCCCTGTGTGATTGCAATCCTGATTAATCCAATCCTATGCTGTTCTAGTTGTTGACCAACTCCCTCCCCTGTGTGATTGCAATCCTGATTAAGCCAATCCTATGCTGTTCTAGGTGTTGACCAACTCCCTCCATGTGTGACTATAGGCCTAGTTCCTGACCTTTTGCTGTTTGTAACTAGTGTCCTCTCCTTGTTTGATTACAGGCACAGCAGCTGTTACAAATGATATGTTATCCCCATGGAATACCTAACCAGGTGGAGGGAAGTGAACCAGACAATAGACAGGTCATTCAGCGGATACTACAGACACTCAATCAGTGGGGTTTACGTGTATCCCTCCTGGAGCTGCAGCTGATGTTGAAACAGGCCACCACCCAGTCTGTATGTATAGTCCCTTCCCCAAGTTACTGTACTTAAGTTGATGAGGTTGAGACTAATAGTTATAATGATTAAATCAATGTCATTTTATAACACACACTTTCAAAATAAACAGCTGTTGAAGGATACTGATGTTATATAAGGTATCAAGGGCTAGTGCACTGAATAGGAGCAGAATGAGGGAACAGTTGTATTCCTGAATCAGAATATGTCCCCCAAAATCAACTGCCCTGTTAGATTTGTATATCTATAGTCACTGGGCTAAAACTAATCAAGTTTGAAAGACAAATTAATGTACACACAATTGAACTATTAAATTTGTTTATACCTTTTCAAAACTGAAAAAGAGGATGGCAAAAAAATTGTATTGAAAATGATCAGTACTCATATGTAGATCCAATTGAACAAGTTGCTGCTATGTTGGGTCTGTCTTTCTGACGTATAATTATTTCATTTCACTTAAGACTACCTTACCACCTCCTTAAGAATACTTTACCAACTTGTTAAGAATACCTTAGTACTTAATTAATACTACCTTACGGCATCCTTAGAATGCCTTAGCACTTAATTAATACTACCTTACGGCATCATTAGAATACTTTACGAATTAATTAACACAGTACATATGTGGCAAAATGTCATAGTAATGTGACATATAAAATTTTGACCTGCAGGATACCAACTACATATTGGAGAATGTGGCAAGGGGATCTATAGATCTATTTCACCAACAGACAGAGAGCAACAGAGGCATGAATGACTCAGACTCCCTGTCCCAGCAAGCTAACAGGTCAGTGTAACATAAAAAGAAAATAAGAAGTTTTTAGGTTTATCAGGTACAGTGTACTGTGATATATAGTGTGTGAAAGTTTTGTTTTGCTGTGATGAAGAAATTGAATCAAGACCAACTTGTTACTTTTCCAGCTTTAGACAAAGATACAGATTTGACAAAAATGTACATAATGTTGTACTTTATATGTATTAAATGCGGTTTTGCCCATTCAATCAAACTTTATTTTGTATTTGTTTGTAACTTTCCTCTTCATCATTTTTGAGGAGGAGACACTAATGACAAAACCTATAATTCTGTAAAATTTGTGCTGGAATCTATCCTTCCTTTTACATAAGTGTATCTGTGTCCTGACTTTAAAAAGTTTGAGATTTTAATATCTGTTCCTAATTCACAATTTATTCCTAAGAGCTTATATTATAAATACCCCTGATTTCAGATCTGAATCTGATGGAGTTTGGATGGTTGGTCCACTTATCTCCAAACTTCAGGGTGTACAAGGACGTGTCCTAAAGCTGGCTGCCCAGGTTCTGGAGACAGGAAATAACTTCCTTTCCAAGGGAAAGTTTGATAAGGAACGGAATCTGAGGAGGTAGGACACACTTCTCTTGGCAGGTGAAGGGTTATTGCATGTACTGGTGTTTACTAATAAACAGGTGGTCCAAGTTGACAGAACTAAGTTTAAGTAACCTGAAGAAATACTGTATACCATGAATTTTTGCTTTACTTAATTTTGCCCATATTATCCATGAACAGGGAGTGATACTTTAAGATGAAGACAAAAAAATTCTGCACTTGCATAACCATTTTATATAATCTACAGAGAATGAACATGAGGCATAGTACAAGGGCAGAATAACCTGGAACGAAAATATCTTAGTATACTGTAAACAGATGTATACCTATTCAGAAAACAGTTTATGTACATGACGATATATATGTAATTAGACGATTATGAGATTATACATGTCTTGTTACTATCTTTAGTTATCATGACTATTGTAGCAAAATTTCTAGTCTATTGTTGGTGAATATTGACATCATAAAACAAATATATGTTCCTTCAGCTGCTGTGATATTTCCGTCTACCTTTTGTTTATTTACTATTGATAAATGTATGGAACTTAAATATGTCAAATTTTTACTTTCACTTATCATTTATCACTGAAACCATAAGGATGGTTCTGTCAAACTTTGACGAAGTTTATGTGCAAAATGCTATGATAAAAACTTAACTTTTTTCTTGCTTCACAGTCTATCTGTTTGCCTTGTTTCACAACTTGCATGTTTCAATAGATAAGACCTCTTTAGATTTGTTAAGACTGAACAGAGATGGTATTTGGTAAGCTTCTAATTTATCTTGACAAAATTAAATAGATATTGTTGACCCATTTTGAATGTTGATAAATTATACTTGTGTTAACAAACTTGAGTTAGAACTTTCAAGAGTTGACTTTGCCATAAATCACTGCTAAAATAGATAAATCGTCCACATGATGATCTGTAATGTGATATCCAATGTTATGAAAGGCAAACGAAACAAAAATTATCATATTTAATATTCCAGACAGGCTACTTTCTTTACCAATTGGGACCTTTCTACCTTTCTAGCACATTTAAGACTTTCTAGTGATTTTTGGCGATGTCAACACAAATATTTCAAGCTTAAACAATTTTAATGGGTTCAACAAGATTTATTCTTTTTGAGAACTGATGGGTGTAGCTATTGATCCATTGCTCTAGTGTCAAAGTCCAACAAAAAGATTTGATGTTTTTTTATTTCTCTTGTCTTTAGTTTTATTCTATTGATATTTTATATAATGAATTAAGTGTATCTATTTTCCAAAATTTGTTTTACATGTATAATGAGACTTATAACAAACTAACATTCTTGATCCCTAGAGATTCATTATAAACATGTTTTACTGTATTTGTTTGAACAGTGGAGTATTACTGACTAGTGGAGTATATCATTTAACTGTATCCTGGTTGTAACAGTAACACTGACTACTGGAGTATATCATTAAACTGTGTCCTGGTTGTAACAATATTACTGACTAGTGGAGTATATCAATTTAACTGTACCCAGGTTGTAACAGTAACACTGACTAGTGGAGTATATCATTTAACTGTATCCAGGTTGTAACATTAACACTGACTAGGGGAGTATATCATTAAGCTGTATCATGGTTGTTACAGTAACATGGACTAAAGGAGTATAATATTAAGCTGTATCCTGGTTGTTGTTGTTACAGTAAGTCCCTACTAGGTCACCAACCCTTCCTGTCCCTTGTGCTCACCTGTCTAAAGGGGCAGGATGAACAGAGAGAGGGATTACTCTGCTCCCTTCTAAACCAGCTGGAGAAATTTATCAACAATTGCAAGGAGGCCCTGGTATGTTTATTTGTGTTAATTCCTGATTATCATGGTGTTATTTGATATTAAAATTGTAGCAATATTTCTGAACAAGAATCTCATGACAATTCATGTTGTTTGAAAACAATTGTGTGAACATGATTGAAGACAGAAAATCATCATGGTTATATATTTATCTCTGATAAGTTTACATGTGACAAGTCCCTTCTGTACAGAGACAAGTTTACATGTGAAAAGTCCCTTCTGTACAAGATATGTTTACATGTGACAAGTCCCTTCTGTACAGAGATATGTTTACATGTGACAAGTCCCTTCTGTACAGAGATATGTTTACATGTGAAAAGTCCCTTCTGTACAGAGATATGTTTACATGTGACAAGTCCCTTCTGTACAGAGATATGTTTACATGTGACAAGTCCCTTCTGTACAGAGATATGTTTACATGTGACAAGTCCCTTCTGTACAGAGATATGTTTACAGGTGACAAGTCCCTTCTGTACAGAGATATGTTTACAGGTGACAAGTCCCTTCTATACATTGACAAGTTTACATGTGACAAGTCCCTTCTGTACAGAGATATGTTTACAGGTGACAAGTCCCTTCTGTACAGAGATATGTTTACATGTGACAAGTCCCTTCTGTACAGAGATATGTTTACAGGTGACAAGTCCCTTCTGTACAGAGATATGTTTACAGGTGACAAGTCCCTTCTGTACAGAGATATGTTTACAGGTGACAAGTCCCTTCTATACATTGACAAGTTTACATGTGACAAGTCCCTTCTGTACAGAGATATGTTTACAGGTGACAAGTCCCTTCTGTACAGAGATATGTTTACAGGTGACAAGTCCCTTCTGTACAGAGATATGTTTACAGGTGACAAGTCCCTTCTGTACAGGGATATGTTTACATGTGACAAGTCCCTTCTACACAGATATAAGTTTACATAAATAAACATTTCAAGTTAGCCTGTTTCCCTATTCTAGGACAAAACTCCGGATGAATTCAAGGTGCGACAGACTATCCATGAGGCCCTACAACTGCGTCTTTCCCTGGTATGACTTTCTAGATCTTTACTCTTTCTGTTGTACTTTACATTATGTCTTATTTAATGTGTTTAAGGGGATAACAATACTTTATTTTAAATTATCTTTTAACCTCAGTAATATCCCTTCCACTATACACCAGCCGTGTGTAAAAAATGGTTAATTTTTGTAGATTAAAAAACAGGAAGAGATATTTTTTTACAAGATAATATTAATGTAATGGTGTTGCAATGTATTCAATGTTAAGCTGGTGTCCTAAGTTTTGTGATCTTCTTGATATCTTTATAAGTTCTAAAAAAAAAGAATAAAAAAAATGCATGTTGGAAAAAGAAATTATTTTGGTAATCCTATCAGGTTGGTTCTTGTTACCTTATTGATAATATAAATTATAAAATATAAATATATACCTGGTATTGTTTTTCTGTGATAACTACACTTTTCTCCCATATTACAACGCAGTGTGCACTACTCTCAGGGTCAAAAACAGGATGATATTATAAGAATGAATAAGTTACCAGTCTTTTTTTTTCAGTGATTTTTGTAAAAGAAAATAGTATTTAATAGGATTATATCATGCTCATGAATTTATTGTGAAAGAAACAGATTCTGTATAAAAAGTAGAATTTCCAAACCACTATTTTATTTCATACTGCATTAATGTATATGAAAGAATTGTTTTCACTTTGCATAAGTAATAAATTCCACTTTATCACATCATTGTTTGTAAAGGTTGGAGGAATGTTTGACACTATACAGAGAAATACTACAAACACAACAGACTGGGGGATCTTACTCCTGCAGCTTGTAACCAATGGTATAGTGGATGCTCAATCTAACAAGTAAGTTATCATCTCAGGTGGTCACTTTTATAGTGGTCACTCGGTCTAACAAGTAAGTTATCATCACAGGTGGTCACTTTTATAGTGGTCACTCAGTCTAACAAATAAGTTATCATCTCAGGTGGTCACTTTTATAGTGGTCACTCAGTCTAACAAGTAAGTTATCATCTCAGGTGGTCACTTTTATAGTGGTCACTCAGTCCAACAATTAAGTTATCATCTCAGGTGGTCACTTTTATAGTGGTCACTCAGTCTAACAAGTTATCATCACAGGTGGTCACTTTTATAGTGGTCACTCAGTCTAACAAGTAAGTTATCATCTCAGGTGGTCACTTTTATAGTGGTCACTCAGTCCAACAATTAAGTTATCATCTCAGGTGGTCACTTTTATAGTGGTCACTCAGTCTAACAAGTAAGTTATCATCTCAGGTGGTCACTTTTATAGTGGTCACTCAGTCCAACAATTAAGTTATCATCTCAGGTGGTCACTTTTATAGTGGTCACTCAGTCTAACAAGTAAGTTACCATAACAAGTGGTCACTTTTATAGTGGATGCTCCGTCTAACCTCACAGCTGACTATCAACAGTCTTAGTACAAATTTGCATTTGGTTGTGTACTGTCTGATTACAGTGAGCTCTTTACCATCATCCTTGATATGTTGACTGTTCTCATCTATGGGACACTGATAACGGAGGGTCCGGAGAAGGAAGACAACAAACGTACTTATCTTAACCTCATCAAGAAACTCCGGGTAAGCTTCTTGTATAATCAAAACTGAAATATCAAATACATCCATTTTACACAGATTAACCATTTAACCTGTTTATAGAACTGTTGTATAATAACACATTTGGATATCTGATGTTGAATTTTATTAGCGTGAGATAGGGGACAAGAACTCCGACTCCATGGATAAGATTCGACAGTTGCTGCCCCTCCCTAAGAGATGGTATGAGGTAATTACATGTGAGCCACATGGAACTCAGATGGACAACAAGGGCAATAAATACAATGGCTTTGGAAAAAAGGAGGTGAGTGATGATGCTGTCAAGTAAGATGTAATGTGACAAACAAGGGAGATAATACCAACTTAGGGGAGATAAATATACTGTTATTCATGTTGAATATTTTGTCAGTTTTTCAATTAAACTTCACTGTTTAACAGCTACTTTACAAGAAAAGTAAATTATTCCACAGATGAGAAGTTTGATAAAATCTTGTAACAATAGAAACAATATAGTTTGATAGAATCTTAGGCTCTTAGCATCATTGACAAGTCCTAGAGAGATGAAACAGGTGTAAGATGTAGCATCATTGACAAGTCCTAGAGAGATGAAACAGCTGTAAGATGTAGCATCATTGACAAGTCCTAGAGAGATGAAACAGCTGTAAGATGTAGCATCATTGACAAGTCCTAGAGAGATGAAACAGCTGTAAGATGTAGCATCATTGACAAGTCCTAGAGAGATGAAACAGCTGTAAGATGTAGCATCATTGACAAGTCCTAGAGAGATGAAACAGCTGTAAGATGTAGCATCATTGACAAGTCCTAGAGAGATGAAACAGCTGTAAGATGTAGCATCATTGACAAGTCCTAGAATGATGAAACAGCTGTATGATGCATTATTTGCCTCTACTGCATCTAATTCTGAATTTCTACGGCAACATGCTATCAATTTGTGCATCTTTTGTACAATTCCCTGTGATATGCCACAAGGATAACTAGCACAAGGAAGAAGTGGATACACCAAAATTGAAGGGTTAAGGAACCTTCCTTAACAAGGAAAACATGTATCTGGTGTGTTGATTGCATTGGGCATTAAACCAGCTTAACCATTCAGGTTTCTTTCCATGCTATTGCCCTCCTGCTTTCAGGACAAATCATGTTATTCTGGAAGAAGAGTGTTCTTCAGGGTTTACCAGAATACTGATTCTGGTGTACACTATCTTCAGGGTTTTCCAGAGTGCGGATTCTGGTGTATTTTATCTTCAGGGTTTACCAAAGTGCTGATTCTGGTGTACACTATCTTCAGGTTTTATCAGAGTGCAGATTCTGGTGTACACTGTCTTCAGGTTTTATCAGAGTGCGGATTCTGGTGTACACTATCTTCAGGTTTTATCAGAGTGCGGGTTCTGGTGTACACTATCTTCAGGTTTTATCAGAGTGCGGATTCTGGTGTACACTATCTTCAGGGTTTATCAGAGTGTGGATTCTTTTGTATTTTATCTTAAGGGTTTACCAAAGTGCTGATTCTGGTGTACACTATCTTCAGGTTTTATCAGAGTGCGGATTCTGGTGTACACTATCTTCAGGTTTTATCAGAGTGCGGATTCTGGTGTACACTATCTTCAGGTTTTATCAGAGTGCGGATTCTGGTGTACACTATCTTCAGGTTTTATCAGAGTGCGGATTCTGGTGTACACTATCTTCAGGGTTTATCAGAGTGCTGATTCTGGTGTACACTATATTCAGGGTTTATCAGAGTGTGGATTCTGGTGTATTGTATCTTAAGGGTTTACCAGAGTGCTGATTCTGGTGTACACTATCTTCAGGGTTTATCAGAGTGTGGATTCTGGTGTATTGTATCTTAAGGGTTTATCAGAGTGTGGATTCTGGTGTACACTGTCTTCAGGGTTTATCAGAGTGTGGATTCTGGTGTATTGTATCTTAAGGGTTTACCAGAGTGTGGATTCTGGTGTACACTATCTTCAGGTTTTACCAGAGTGCTGATTCTGGTGTACACTATCTTCAGGGTTTATCAGAGTGTGGATTCTGGTGTATTGTATCTTAAGGGTTTATCAGAGTGTGGATTCTGGTGTATTGTATCTTAAGGGTTTACCAGAGTGCTGATTCTGGTGTACACTATCTTCAGGTTTTATCAAAGTGTGGATTCTGGTGTACTCTCTCTTCAGGTTTTATAAGGGTGCTGATTATGGTGTACTTAATTTTCAGGGTTTACAGGTGTCCAAGAAAGAGAAGATCAGTCCATGGGAGGTGATTGAGGGCTACAAAAACCCTCCACCCCTCTCCTGGTCTTACTTTTGTGCAGTCAAACTTGAGAGGAAACCACTCAAGTATGAGGAACAACACAGGTTCGTATAATGTTGCTATGCATGCACTGCACTCCACCGTCTATTAAAATAGATACTACAATGTTAATATTTCTGACATATTTGGTTTGTGTTTATTTGACCCATTGCAATGCACAAATATTGTATCAGACAATAATACAGGTATCAGACAATAATACTTGTATCAGGCAATAATACAGGTATCAGACAATAATACATGTATCAGACAATAAATCAGACAATAATACATGTATCAGACAATAATACATGTATCAGACAATAATACTTGTATCAGGCAATAATACATGTATCAGACAATAATACTTGTATCAGGCAATAATACATGTATCAGACAATAATACATGTATCAGACAATAATACATGTATCAGGCAATAATACATGTATCAGACAATAATACTTGTATCAGGCAATACATCCTCAGCTTTTTATATGAATTTCTTGATAAATAAAAACTTGCTGAATAGGAAATGTCACTGCACCTTCTCTTTCAACTTAGATGCATGCTTAAAGAATAAAATTTTTATTCAGGTCTTTCCCCAGTTGAAGGAATGAAATACCTTCTTTTCAATTGCTTTACTTGGAAGTAGGGCTGTCTAAAGCTTAAATCATTTTCTGACAGTAATATCTAATAAATTCCTCTGTTGCGTTCCCAAGTTAAAAATATTATAAGACTGGAATGATGATATCCATTGTAATAGGCCATTATGGGGACTGTTTTAACAGGATTTGACTACAATAAAACAAAACAAACCTGCCATAATGTCTGATAATATCTGAAGTTTGACAGATGTGAATTTAATTACAGAATGATGTTGTTTCATACCCACTCACTCCGTCATCCTATTAGTCACTACCTTGATCCTCCAGTACTACCGCCTGAGGACCTTGAACCACCGCCGGAGAAAGTGGTAAGTACTGCAACAAAGATTAATAATACAACACAATTAAATCACTTGATTCCTGATGTTAAACAGATACTGTCATAGGTAAACTAGTTGTGATAACCAATATTGATTATGTTTGTGACATGATGGCTATGTAGAGATTTACTCCATCACATATATAATGGAATCATAACCAAATAGTACAGTGTTCCCAGTGTATTTAAACTTAGGGTAAAATATAATCCTTACAATGTATTTATATATGAGAGTGCCTCAAACTCGGTACAATTTATGAATTTTGCCATTTGAGGGGTTTGTAGCCTCATTCAGGGGTAATGGGGAACACTTTTACGTGAAGTAGTCTGTTAGGGAATTTCTCTTGAGTGAAATGTTTTCTTTTGAGGAGGAAAAAGTTAAGGAGCCAGCAGAAGCACATCCAGAGAAGCAACGGAAGAAACCTAATAAACGACGTAATCCAAGGACCGTGAACAACAACTTTCCTGTAAGTGGTTTACTGTGGCTCAAATGCACTCCACACAAAGCCTAAGCATGTTGGTATCAAAGAAGAAATTTAGAAGAAAAAGGTTTTACAGGATGAAGTGAAAGATATAAAAATCTCCAATTTTCTTACCTCTTTACAATGATAGGACAGCAGGTAGCATTATTGTGCTTTACCCTCTGGGCAATCAGTTTAAAGTTCCAGACATACAGCTATGATTTATCCTTTAAATAACTGCTCAACAGGTTTGTGTCATATGTTCTCTTATCTCAACAACATCTGTGTAATAAATTTAGCTATAAGATCAAGCCTTTAAGTCAGTGATGCAAGTGTATGTCTTGCTATGTTGCAGACAGACATTTTGAAACTTGGCTACTCAGTTCCTTGTGTTGTGGTCTTTTAGTTGAAATGTGAAGGTATTGTTACATATGGCTGCTTACAACCTGAGTAACAAAGCTCTGTTTTACAGCCCAATCCTGTACCACGGCTGAACTACCCTGACAACACTGGTATGTACACAACGCCCCACCCAAGCTGGAGCTACAATCCCCCCCAGCCTCAGCAGTCTTCATTCTATCCCCAGCAACAGATGCCACAAGGTAAGTACACCCATAAAGTAATCCCTGTCACTTCCAGTAACTAAGTCATAAATGTGTAACACACACCTGTAACCCCAGAGGCCCAGTGTTAATGTATAACATACACCTGTAACCCCAGAGGCCCATTGTTAATGTATAACATACACCTGTAACCCCAGAGGCCCAGTGTCAATGTATAACATACACCTGTAACCCCAGAGGCCCAGTGTTAATGTATAACATACACCTGTAACCCCAGAGGCCCATTGTCAATGAATAACACACACCTGTAACCCCAGAGGCCCAGTGTCAATGTATAACACACCTGTAACCCCAGAGGCCCAGTGTCAATGTATAACACACACCTGTAACCCCAGAGGTCCATTCAGCATTCTACTTCATTAATCTTGAAGATTGAGTTAGTAAAATGATTTATTTTTTATACAGGTCCAAGGTACAGCCAGCAACTCAATTATGGACCAAAGCAGGCATTGCAGACATTGATACGTGGTCGAACCAACCCCAACACTTCAAACTACCCTCAGAACATACAGCAAATGCATATTATGAACAAGCAGATGCTTAATCGCCAGGTACGGCAGCAGCTGCGCCAAACATTCCAGAACCACCAGCGAGGCATGCCTGACAGTCAGGGCATGTTCCCAAACCAAATGCAGCCTGGTGGCATGCAGAGTATGAATCAACCACAGAGTAAGTGATGGGTCTCCAACCAAGTACACCTTCAGTTAGAGGTCAGTAAAGATAGAACACAGAGTAAGTGATGGGTCTCCAACCAAGTACACCTTTAATTAGAGGTCAGTAAAGATAGAACACAGAGTAAGTGATGGGTCTCCAACCAAGTACACCTTTAGTTAGAGGTCAGTAAAGATAGAACATAGAGTAAGTGATGGGTCTCCAACCAAGTACACCTTTAGCTCGAGGTCAGTAAAGATAGAACGCAGAGTAAGCGATGTGTCTCCAACCAAGTACATCTTTAGTTAGACTTCAATAAAGATAGAACACAGAGTAAGTGATGGGTCTCCAACCAAGTACACCTTTAGTTAGAGGTCAGTAAAGATAGAACATAGAGTAAGTGATGGGTCTCCAACCAAGTACACCTTTAGTTAGAGGTCAGTAAAGATAGAACACAGAGTAAGTGATGGGTCTCCAACCAAGTACACCTTTAGTTAGAGGTCAGTAAAGATAGAACACAGAGTAAGTGATGGGTCTCCAACCAAGTACACCTTTAGTTAGAGGTCAGTAAAGATAGAACACAGAGTAAGTGATGGGTCTCCAACCAAGTACACCTTTAGTTAGAGGTCAGTAAAGATAGAACACAGAGTAAGTGATGGGTCTCCAACCAAGTACACCTTTAGTTAGAGGTCAGTAAAGATAGAACGCAGAGTAAGTGATGGGTCTCCAACCAAGTACACCTTTAGTTAGAGGTCAGTAAAGATAGAACGCAGAGTAAGTGATGGGTCTCCAACCAAGTACACCTTTAATTAGAGGTCAGTAAAGATAGAACACAGAGTAAGTGATGGGTCTCCAACCAAGTACACCTTTAGTTAGAGGTCAGTAAAGATAGTAAGTGAACAACCAAGTACACCTTTATGAGGTCAGTAAAGATAGAACCAGAGTAAGTGAACCAAGTACACCTTTAGTTAGAGGTCAGTAAAGATAGAACACAGAGTAAGTGATGGGTCTCCAACCAAGTACACCTTTAGTCAGTAAAGATAGAACACAGAGTTGAGTCTCCAACCAAGTACACCTTTAGTTAGAGGTCAGTAAAGATAGAACACAGAGTAAGTGATGGGTCTCCAACCAAGTACACCTTTAGTTAGAGGTCAGTAAAGATAGAACACAGAGTAAGTGATGTGTCTCCAACCAAGTACACCTTTAGTTAGAGGTCAGTAAAGATAGAACACAGAGTAAGTGATGGGTCTCCAACCAAGTACACCTTTAGTTAGAGGTCAGTAAAGATAGAACACAGAGTAAGTGATGGGTCTCCAACCAAGTACACCTTTAGTTAGAGGTCAGTAAAGATAGAACACAGAGTAAGTGATGGGTCTCCAACCAAGTACACCTTTAGTTAGAGGTCAGTAAAGATAGAACGCAGAGTAAGTGATGGGTCTCCAACCAAGTACACCTTTAGTTAGAGGTCAGTAAAGATAGAACACAGAGTAAGTGATGGGTCTCCAACCAAGTACACCTTTAGTTAGAGGTCAGTAAAGATAGAACACAGAGTAAGTGATGGGTCTCCAACCAAGTACACCTTTAGTTAGAGGTCAGTAAAGATAGAACGCAGAGTAAGTGATGGGTCTCCAACCAAGTACACCTTTAGTTAGAGGTCAGTAAAGATAGAACACAGAGTAAGTGATGGGTCTCCAACCAAGTACACCTTTAGTTAGAGGTCAGTAAAGATAGAACACAGAGTAAGTGATGGGTCTCCAACCAAGTACACCTTTAGTTAGAGGTCAGTAAAGATAGAACGCAGAGTAAGTGATGGGTCTCCAACCAAGTACACCTTTAGTTAGAGGTCAGTAAAGATAGAACACAGAGTAAGTGAAGGGTCTCCAACCAAGTACACCTTTAGTTAGAGTTCAGTTATTATAGACTGTTTATTTAGTTATGTGTTTTGATCTAAGTAAAACTTTATTTAGAGGTCAGTAAAGATAGAACACAGAGTAAGTGATGGGTCTCCAACCAAGTACACCTTTAGTTAGAGGTCAGTGATGGGTATCCAACCAAGTACACCTTTAGTTAGAGGTCAGTAAAGATAGAACACAGAGTAAGTGATGGGTCTCCAACCAAGTACACCTTTAGTTAGAGGTCAGTAAAGATAGAACACAGAGTAAGTGATGGGTCTCCAACCAAGTACACCTTTAGTTAGAGGTCAGTAAAGATAGAACACAGAGTAAGTGATGGGTCTCCAACCAAGTACACCTTTAGTTAGAGGTCAGTAAAGATAGAACACAGAGTAAGTGATGGGTCTCCAACCAAGTACACCTTTAGTTAGAGGTCAGTAAAGATAGAACACAGAGTAAGTGATGGGTCTCCAACCAAGTACACCTTTAGTTAGAGGTCAGTAAAGATAGAACACAGAGTAAGTGATGGGTCTCCAACCAAGTACACCTTTAGTTAGAGGTCAGTAAAGATAGAACACAGAGTAAGTGATGGGTCTCCAACCAAGTACACCTTTAGTTAGAGGTCAGTAAAGATAGAACGCAGAGTAAGTGAGTCTCCAACCAAGTACACCTTTAGTTAGAGGTCAGTAAAGATCAGAGTAAGTGATGGGTCTCCAACCAAGTACACCTTTAAAGATTAAGTGAGGTCAGTAAAGATCAGTAAAGATAGAACGCAGAGTAAGTGATGGGTCTCCAACCAAGTACACCTTTAGTTAGAGGTCAGTAAAGATAGAACGCAGAGTAAGTGATGGGTCTCCAACCAAGTACACCTTTAGTTAGAGGTCAGTAAAGATAGAACGCAGAGTAAGTGATGGGTCTCCAACCAAGTACACCTTTAGTTAGAGGTCAGTAAAGATAGAACGCAGAGTAAGTGATGGGTCTCCAACCAAGTACACCTTTAGTTAGAGGTCAGTAAAGATAGAACGCAGAGTAAGTGATGGGTCTCCAACCAAGTACACCTTTAGTTAGAGGTCAGTAAAGATAGAACACAGAGTAAGTGATGGGTCTCCAACCAAGTACACCTTTAGTTAGAGGTCAGTAAAGATAGAACACAGAGTAAGTGATGGGTCTCCAACCAAGTACACCTTTAGTTAGAGGTCAGTAAAGATAGAACACAGAGTAAGTGATGGGTCTCCAACCAAGTACACCTTTAGTTAGAGGTCAGTAAAGATAGAACACAGAGTAAGTGATGTAAGTCTCCAACCAAGTACACCTTTAGTTAGAGGTCAGTAAAGATAGAACACAGAGTAAGTGATGGGTCTCCAACCAAGTACACCTTTAGTTAGAGGTCAGTAAAGATAGAACACAGAGTAAGTGATGGGTCTCCAACCAAGTACACCTTTAGTTAGAGGTCAGTAAAGATAGAACGCAGAGTAAGTGATGGGTCTCCAACCAAGTACACCTTTAGTTAGAGGTCAGTAAAGATCCAACCAAGTAACCTTTAGTTAGAGGTCAGTAAAGATAGAACGCAGAGTAAGTGATGGGTCTCCAACCAAGTACACCTTTAGTTAGAGGTCAGTAAAGATAGAACGCAGAGTAAGTGATGGGTCTCCAACCAAGTACACCTTTAGTTAGAGGTCAGTAAAGATAGAACACAGAGTAAGTGATGGGTCTCCAACCAAGTACACCTTTAGTTAGAGGTCAGTAAAGATAGAACACAGAGTAAGTGATGGGTCTCCAACCAAGTACACCTTTAGTTAGAGGTCAGTAAAGATAGAACGCAGAGTAAGTGATGGGTCTCCAACCAAGTACACCTTTAGTTAGAGGTCAGTAAAGATAGAACACAGAGTAAGTGATGGGTCTCCAACCAAGTACACCTTTAGTTAGAGGTCAGTAAAGATAGAACACAGAGTAAGTGATGGGTCTCCAACCAAGTACACCTTTAGTTAGAGGTCAGTAAAGATAGAACACAGAGTAAGTGATGGGTCTCCAACCAAGTACACCTTTAGTTAGAGGTCAGTAAAGATAGAACACAGAGTAAGTGATGGGTCTCCAACCAAGTACACCTTTAGTTAGAGGTCAGTAAAGATAGAACACAGAGTAAGTGATGGGTCTCCAACCAAGTACACCTTTAGTTAGAGGTCAGTAAAGATAGAACGCAGAGTAAGTGATGGGTCTCCAACCAAGTACACCTTTAGTTAGAGGTCAGTAAAGATAGAACGCAGAGTAAGTGATGGGTCTCCAACCAAGTACACCTTTAGTTAGAGGTCAGTAAAGATAGAACGCAGAGTAAGTGATGGGTCTCCAACCAAGTACACCTTTAGTTAGACGTCAGTAAAGATAGAACACAGAGTAAGTGATGGGTCTCCAACCAAGTACACCTTTAGTTAGAGGTCAGTAAAGATAGAACACAGAGTAAGTGATGGGTCTCCAACCAAGTACACCTTTAGTTAGAGGTCAGTAAAGATAGAACACAGAGTAAGTGATGGGTCTCCAACCAAGTACACCTTTAGTTAGAGGTCAGTAAAGATAGAACACAGAGTAAGTGATGGGTCTCCAACCAAGTACACCTTTAGTTAGAGGTCAGTAAAGATAGAACACAGAGTAAGTGATGGGTCTCCAACCAAGTACACCTTTAGTTAGAGGTCAGTAAAGATAGAACACAGAGTAAGTGATGGGTCTCCAACCAAGTACACCTTTAGTTAGAGGTCAGTAAAGATAGAACACAGAGTAAGTGATGGGTCTCCAACCAAGTACACCTTTAGTTAGAGGTCAGTAAAGATAGAACGCAGAGTAAGTGATGGGTCTCCAACCAAGTACACCTTTAGTTAGAGGTCAGTAAAGATAGAACACAGAGTAAGTGATGGGTCTCCAACCAAGTACACCTTTAGTTAGAGGTCAGTAAAGATAGAACACAGAGTAAGTGATGGGTCTCCAACCAAGTACACCTTTAGTTAGAGGTCAGTAAAGATAGAACACAGAGTAAGAGGTCAGTAAAGATAGAACACAGAGTAAGTGATGGGTCTCCAACCAAGTACACTTTTAGTTAGAGGTCAGTAAAGATAGAAAACAGAGTAAGTGATGGGTCTCCAACCAAGTACACCTTTAGTTAGAGGTCAGTAAAGATAGAACACAGAGTAAGTGATGGGTCTCCAACCAAGTACACCTTTAGTTAGAGGTCAGTAAAGATAGAACGCAGAGTAAGTGATGGGTCTCCAACCAAGTACACCTTTAGTTAGAGGTCAGTAAAGATAGAACGCAGAGTAAGTGATGGGTCTCCAACCAAGTACACCTTTAGTTAGAGGTCCAAGATAGAACGCAGAGTAAGTGATGGGTCTCCAACCAAGTACACCTTTAGTTAGAGGTCAGTAAAGATAGAACACAGAGTAAGTGATGGGTCTCCAACCAAGTACACCTTTAGTTAGAGGTCAGTAAAGATAGAACACAGAGTAAGTGATGTGTCTCCAACCAAGTACACCTTTAGTTAGAGGTCAGTAAAGATGAAAAAAAGAGTAAGTGATGGGTCTCCAACCAAGTACACCTTTAGTTAGAGGTCAGTAAAGATAGAACACAGAGTAAGTGATGGGTCTCCAACCAAGTACACCTTTAGTTAGAGGTCAGTAAAGATAGAACACAGAGTAAGTGATGGGTCTCCAACCAAGTACACCTTTAGTTAGAGGTCAGTAAAGATAGAACACAGAGTAAGTGATGGGTCTCCAACCAAGTACACCTTTAGTTAGAGGTCAGTAAAGATAGAACACAGAGTAAGTACACCTTTAGTTGATGATAGAACACAGAGTAAGTGGTCTCCAACCAAGTACACCTTTAGTTAGAGGTCAGTAAAGATAGAACACAGAGTAAGTGATGGGTCTCCAACCAAGTACACCTTTAGTTAGAGGTCAGTAAAGATAGAACACAGAGTAAGTGATGGGTCTCCAACCAAGTACACCTTTAGTTAGAGGTCAGTAAAGATAGAACACAGAGTAAGTGATGGGTCTCCAACCAAGTACACCTTTAGTTAGAGGTCAGTAAAGATAGAACGCAGAGTAAGTGATGGGTCTCCAACCAAGTACACCTTTAGCTCGAGGTCAGTAAAGATAGAACACAGAGTAAGCGATGTGTCTCCAACCAAGTACATCTTTAGTTAGACTCCAACCAAGTACACCTTTAGTTAGAGGTCAGTAAAGATAGAACACAGAGTAAGTGATGTGTCTCCAACCAAGTACACCTTTAGTTAGAGGTCAGTAAAGATAGAACACAGAGTAAGTGATGGGTCTCCAACCAAGTACACCTTTAGTTAGAGGTCAGTAAAGATAGAACACAGAGTAAGTGATGGGTCTCCAACCAAGTACACCTTTAGTTAGAGGTCAGTAAAGATAGAACACAGAGTAAGTGATGGGTCTCCAACCAAGTACACCTTTAGTTAGAGGTCAGTAAAGATAGAACACAGAGTAAGTGATGGGTCTCCAACCAAGTACACCTTTAGTTAGAGGTCAGTAAAGATAGAACACAGAGTAAGTGATGGGTCTCCAACCAAGTACACCTTTAGTTAGAGGTCAGTAAAGATAGAACACAGAGTAAGTGATGGGTCTCCAACCAAGTACACCTTTAGTTAGAGGTCAGTAAAGATAGAACACAGAGTAAGTGATGGGTCTCCAACCAAGTACACCTTTAGTTAGAGGTCAGTAAAGATAGAACGCAGAGTAAGTGATGGGTCTCCAACCAAGTACACCTTTAGCTCGAGGTCAGTAAAGATAGAACGCAGAGTAAGTGATGTGTCTCCAACCAAGTACATCTTTAGTTAGACTTCAATAAAGATAGAACACAGAGTAAGTGATGTGTCTCCAACCAAGTACACCTTTAGTTAGAGGTCAGTAAAGATAGAACACAGAGTAAGTGATGGGTCTCCAACCAAGTACACCTTTAGTTAGAGGTCAGTAAAGATAGAACACAGAGTAAGCGATGTGTCTCCAACCAAGTACACCTTTAGTTAGAGGTCAGTAAAGATAGAACACAGAGTAAGTGATGGGTCTCCAACCAAGTACACCTTTAGTTAGAGGTCAGTAAAGATAGAACACAGAGTAAGTGATGGGTCTCCAACCAAGTACACCTTTAGTTAGAGGTCAGTAAAGATAGAACACAGAGTAAGTGATGGGTCTCCAACCAAGTACACCTTCAGTTAGAGGTCAGTAAAGATAGAACACAGAGTAAGTGATGGGTCTCCAACCAAGTACACCTTTAATTAGAGGTCAGTAAAGATAGAACACAGAGTAAGTGATGGGTCTCCAACCAAGTACACCTTTAGTTAGAGGTCAGTAAAGATAGAACACAGAGTAAGTGATGGGTCTCCAATCAAGTACACCTTTAGTTAGAGGTCAGTAAAGATAGAACGCAGAGTAAGTGATGGGTCTCCAACCAAGTACACCTTTAGTTAGAGGTCAGTAAAGATAGAACACAGAGTAAGTGATGGGTCTCCAACCAAGTACACCTTTAGTTAGAGGTCAGTAAAGATAGAACACAGAGTAAGTGATGTGTCAAAACCAAGTACATCTTTAGTTAGAGATCTGTTGATAGATCTTTTACAAAGTGTATGCAGTGTTCATGTATTTAGATAAATGTGATATTTACTTTTAGAGCTATGAAATATATACAATCCTTTTTTCATATAGTGGGGATGCAATCCAACTATGGGACATCATATGGTATGCAGCCTCAGCCATCTGGCAATGTGATGGAAACGGGTCCTCCAGGGGCAGGGATGATGTCACAGCAGGGTTACAGCCAGTCCTATCAGGGCTCGCAGTCCTCAGGCATGATGCCTGGAATGGGGAACCAGCCAAATTATATGGCCCCGCAGGCACCACAAACAGCTCCTGTAGGACAGTCCCACTTCAATACCACTTCTAGGTAGTACACAGATTAGATATGAATCTTCCTTTGGATTTTGATTGTAATATTTCCAAACTTGTCTCATTGTTATTATACACTGTGTGCTATAATATGTAATTGATGTGTTTAAAGCTTTGAAAATATATGTGTATATATGTGCTTCAAATGGCCCTCAATCCTGATACTGTATACCTTGATCTCATCTGAGAATTTTCATGGGTTGTTTTTCATAGTGTTTAAACAAGCCAACCAATAGAACTACCTGATAATGCATCTAGTTATACCTCATTTCTACCCATTTCATCCTGTTCCACATTAATGTCAAAATGTTTGGTTCACCCCATATTTACCTCATAGTACTTGAACTTGATATCAACTTTGGGGAGGGAGGATGAACATTCATGACTTATTGACGGTTTTGAGAACTTGTGCATTTTACTGTAAGGTTTTGAAATGCCATTCATTTCAGGCTACAGCACGGGATGGGCAATAGTTCTATGCAGAACCCAAGCAGTACAATGAGTGGTATGACATCAGGGATGGCAGGATACAACCAGATGGCTTCGTCTGGACCATCCCAACATCAGGTACGTAATCTGTTATCTGTTATCCTAGATTACCACAATCCTAACACTCTTGTCCAGTTGTCTTCAATTTATAAAAGTGTGACTTTCAGAATTATGTCCCCTTGTTGAATTACTTCTGAATTATGTCCCCTTGTTGAATTACTAATGGATCAGGAGATATAAAAGTAAGTATAGATGGAGCTTTGTTGTAGTAATGTTGCTTCCTGTTGGGGCCCAACTGAGGAAATAGAGTAAATTCTTTAAAATCCTAATCCTCCTGTAGGAATGATTAGATTTTGCCCAAATTTGGTCTGGAGCATTGTTGGGGAAAGAGGAATCAATTTTGTATAAATGGTGGGTCTTGGCCCCCTGGTGCTGGAGGGTTGGTACCAATAAAGGAAATATAGCAAATTCTTTAAGATCCTACTCCTCCTGTAGAAACGATTGGATTATGTCCAAATTTGGTCCTTAGCAATCTTGGGTGAAGGGGAACCAATTTTGTATAAATGGTGGGTCTCAGCACTCTAGGACAGGACCCAATATTGGAAATATGGCAAATTCTTTTAAATACTACTTTTCCTGTAGGAATGTTTGGGTCTGAAGTATGAATGATTTGGCTGACCCCCTAAGGACAGAGGGTTGGGATCCAATGAGAAAATTGATATGTTTTGAAAAGTGTGCTTGGATATTTAGAAATCCTTTTCCTTTAGTTCTAATGAAGCAATTTCAGCAAAGCAAAGAGAGGTGAGCGATACAGGCCCTATTGGTATATTGTTGTACTAGCGTTCCTTAGCTAATCTTGCTAATATCAATATATTTAAATTTGAATCCTTGATGTTGTGTCCCTTTGTTTAGATGTACATCATGTAAGTGACCTTTGTAGATAGATGTAAGTCACCTTTGTGTAGAATCAAGTCATCTTTGTGTAAATGCACATAACCTTTGTGAAGATGAAAGTGACCTTTTTTTGGATGTTAGTGACCTTTTGTTTGGATGTTAATGACCTTTGTTTAGTTGTAAGTGACCTTTATTTGGACATAAATTCAACTTTGTGTAGATGTAAGTGACCATTTTTTACATGTGAGTGACATTTGTTTAGAAATAAATGACCATTGTTTAGAAGTACGTGACCTCTTTTTGGAAGTGACCTTTGTTAAGATATAAGTGACATCAGTGTAAATATACAATGTAAGTGACCTTTGGAGTTCTATCTCTGTGTATGAGGATGTTTATATGTAAAGCCAATAGGCTATGATATGGTTCTGTGTCCTCTCTGATAGCAAAAGACCGGAAATGACAAATTGAAATTCTTTCATCAACCTACTTCATCCTCTTCATCCTCATCTGAGGAACCGAAGGTAAGTGTCTGGTGTTTTGACAAGGGAACGCAAGGTAAGTATCTACTGTGTGTGTGTATAGGGAAAAAATAAAGTTAGTGTCTACCCTGTGTATAGGGGAACACAAGGTTTGTGTCTACTCTGTGTGTCTAATGTGTATAGTGTGAAACACAAGGTAAGTGTCTGCTGTGTGTAGAGATTCAAACTTGGAATCTCTGGTTTACTAGAGTGACACTCAACTGTTCAAGCAGAAGAAAATTTTTTTCTGTCTTCATTTCTGTATATTGCAGCTACTATTTTACCAGGTTTACATATGAGAACACCAGGTTTACATATGAGAACACCTTGGGAACACAAGGTATCAGCTGTGTGTATATGGGATCACAATATAGTGTCTACTGCCTGTAAGGGGGAATGCAATGCTAGTGTCTCATGTGTCTACAGAGGAACACACAGTAGGTGTCTATTGGGTGTATAGGGGAACACAAGGTTTGTGTCTTCTGTGTGTAGGTAGGAACATAAGGTTAGTGTTTACTCTAGGTGTAGGTGAACTCAAGAAAAGTGTCTGTAGTGTGCATATGGGAATACTTTGGGAATACAAGGCTAGTGTCTTATGTGTCATTAAGGGAACACAAGGTGTCTTCTGTGTGTAGAAGGGAACACAAGGTTAGTGTGTACTGTACAAGTGTACGCTAACTGCCACCTTGCCAAAGGAACCCTACGTAAGTATTTATTTGTGTCTGCTGTGTGGATGCAGACTTAATTACCTCCACCTCATCAGAGAAACTCTAAATAGTGTCTACTGTGTGGTTGACCTATATCATTCTCAGATTCAGGATGTTGTACTTCTACCAAATTAGGTTTGAAAATGTTTAATATATTATTTTAAACAACGAAGTTTTATTATCATTTAAACATAATCTCTACACTAAAAACTTCTTGAAAGTTTCTTATTTTTAGTTTTGTCCCTATAAGGAAACCTGTTTTCAGGGCCAAGATCAGTAATTACGACTAAAGTTTGAACCCTACCCTTGAATTCTGTGGTATAATTGTATTATTTCAGCTCTTTCTATTGGTTGTTTTAGCCCGCCAGCACCAGATAGTGAGCTTAATTTTTGGACTGATCAGAAAAACATATATGATTATTTATTTGCCATCTTGGATTTTTACTAGAAAGTTTGTTTTTGCTATTTATTGAGAAGGACTGAATGGATCTTTTTGAAATTTCATATATAGGTGACCATTACTCCCTAGTTGTGTCCATTTGATTTTGTGACTTATCAGAAAGACAAAATGGCCCACAGGTAACCATCTTGATCACAAAGACAAAATGGCCCACAGGTAACCATCTTGATCAAAAATGGCACATGGGTAACCATCTTAATGAGAAAGACAACACATTTGAAAATTTAGCTTATTGATGTATTTTAAATTTCATTTCTTAGAGGGAATTTTCAATTATTAAAAATTAAAACAGATATAGAGAAAATAGAGATTACACAATAGTTGGTGCCAAGATTCCTCTTTGATATCTTGTTTTTCACATGATACAGATTTAACAGGTTGTGTGTTTTTCTTTCATGGTTGTATGTCTTGATTTGATTCGTTGTATTTTGAATGGATTGGCTGTGTGTTGTTATGCTCCCCACAAATTTTCGATGTCTGTCTGTTTTTCCGTCTGTCCTTCCATGTCTGGAGCATAGTCTTGCCCTTAGCCAAGCAAGGATCATGAAACTTGGTATATATATTGGTAGAACAATGTACCAAAATTACAAAACAATATAACCCCTCTATTATAGAGATATTGCCTTTGTTAAAAATTTCTTGTCCAGAGCATAACTTTGAATACACTTAAGCAAAGAAGATGAAACATATTGCAAACATTGATCATAGAAAGCCATTGTTCAGTGTACAAATTTTCAGCCTGCATCCCCATAATTACAGAGTTATTGCCCTTTGTTAAAATTTTGTGCCAGGGTGTATTACTTTGACTGCATTTAATCCAGGATATTGAAATGTGATGTATACATCAGTCGTACAATTATAAGGTGCGGTGTAGCAAACTCTGGGCCCATGACCCCATTACAGAGTAATTGATAAAATTTCATGTCGTTAGCATTGGTCAAACTTAGAAAATGTGAAGTTTGCCAAATTCAGGGTCTGCAACCCCTTTATTACAGAATTATTGCCCTTTTTAAGATTTTGTGTCCAGTGAAGTTGTTTTCAGGAAACATTCATCAGTTTCACTAACACTCCTGTGATTGTATGGGTTGTGTGTTTAATTGGATGGTTGTGTGTTTTGATTGGATTGGTTGTTTGTTTTAATTGGATCAGTTGTTTGTTTTAATTGGATTGGTTGTGTGTTTTGATTGAGTTGGTTTGTGTTTTAATTGGATTGGTTTTTTTTTTAATTGAGTTGGTTTGTGTTTTAATTGGATTGGTTGTTTGTTTTAATTGGATTGGTTGTGTGTTTTAATTGAGTTGGTTTGTGTTTTAATTGGATTGGTTGTTTGTTTTAATTGGATTGGTTGTGTGTTTTAATTGAGTTGGTTTGTGTTTTAATTGGATTGGTTTTTTGTTTTAATTGGATTGGTTGTGTGTTTTAATTGAGTTGGGTTGTTTTTTTTAATTGAGTTGGTTTGTGTTTTAATTGGATCGGTTGTTTGTTTTAATTGGATTGGTTGTGTGTTTTAATTGAGTTGGTTTGTGTTTTAATTGGATTGGTTGTGTTTTTTAATTGAATTGGTTGTGTTTTAATTGGATTGGTTGTGTTTTTTAATTGAATTGGTTGTGTTTTAATTGGATTGGTTGTGTTTTTTTAATTGAATTGGTTGTGTTTTTTAATTGAATTGGTTGTGTGTTTTAATTGAGTTGGTTTGTGTTTTAATTGGATTGGTTGTGTTTTTTAATTGGATTTGTTGTGTTTTTTATATTGAATTGGTTGTGTGTTTTAATTGAATTGGTTTGTGTTTTAATTGGATTGGTTTTGTGTTTTAATTGAGTTGGTTTGTGTTTTAATTGGATTTGTTGTGTTTTTTAATTGGATTGGTTGTGTTTTTTAATTGAATTGGTTGTGTGTTTTAATTGAGTTGGTTTGTGTTTTAATTGGATTGGTTGTGTTTTTTAATTGGATTGGTTGTGTTTTTTAATTGAATTGGTTGTTTTTTTTAATTGAATTGGTTGTGTGTTTTAATTGAATTGGTTTGTGTTTTAATTGGATTGGTTGTTTTTTTTAATTGAATTGGTTGTGTGTTTTAATTGAATTGGTTGTGTTTGAATGAATTTTACTGGTTTTATGATTTTATATTGCTGTGTGGAGACCGATTGTCAAGGTGAAATAAAAAATATTTATATGTAAACATAAATCTAGCTAGATTTCTGAAATAAAATCTTTTAATTTCTCAAAGTTTGTTTGAAGGTTCCCCTTAGTCTCTAGTTGTGCATGTTCAACTTCAAAACTGCTTAGAAAAACAAAATGGCTAACCAATGGATTTGCTTGGATTTCCTATTCTATATGTATCTTTATCCCTAGTTCTACCTGTTAAATTATAATACTGATTTGAGAAAAAAAAATGGCTGAAAGGTAGCAATCTTGAATTTTGACAGCTGAAGTACAAATTTGACTTCTTACGTAGTTTGACTGTGAAAGATGTTACAGGGATGTTAACATTTATTCACCAGGCAGTATTTTTATGAATATTGAGTGATCAGACTTCAACAGGAAAGCGAAGGGAGAAACATACACGGACAGGTGCCCAGGTCCCCCTAGGATTGTTTTTGGTAGAGAAATCCTGTCCTGTGAATTGGCATATGATGGTGCATGAATTTTGTTAATCACAGCATAAATATTCGGGTATTGTTTACTGGCCTGCATCAAGCTGAGGGCGAGACAGCAGTTTGACAAATTCCATCTGTCATCAACTTTTATTTAAAGTGACTTATTAGGTTACCTGAGACAAAGTCTCATGGTGACCTATTCTAATACCCTTCATCCGCATCCTGTGTCCGTAAACGATGTAGCACTTTCGACTTCTTCTCAAAAACCTGTGATCCAAATTCACTGAAATTTTGCAGAAACCTTCCCTGGCCAAAGATGAAACAAAATTGTGAATTATACAGTACCCACCACTGAGGGGCAGGGCCAAAAGGGGTCAAATTGACTCAGATTTCAAAATATTCTTCTCAAAACCCAGATATGGTAGAATCAAATACTCTTCATGAATGGAAGCATCTTAAGGTGCTTTACAAAAATTGTGAATTTCATGACCCTAGGGTCTCGCATATACCCATAGGATGGGGTAAAGTTTACTGTAGTTTATATAGGAAAACTAGATTTTTGAGCATAATTTGTTTAATTTCCATTGGAAATATTTCAAACTTGATTAGAATTATGAGTGAATGATGATGGCTTGATGGTATGCCCATTTTTATCCTGACTGAACCCCTGGTGCAGATGGGCAGAGCCAAAAGAGATCAAATTGACTTAAATTTCAAAAATCTTCTTCTCAAGACCCAGTTGTGGTAGAATGAAATACTCTTCATGAATTGAAGCAACTTAAGGTTCTTTAATTACCAAAATGAGTCTCACATTTTTTCCTGGGGAGGAATTTTTTTTTAATATTTTCAGTATGGGATGACAGTTTTGATGGAATGCATGTATAAACACTGTCTATATTCATTTTTACAATTTCTGTTTCATGACACTTAATAACTATGCTTTAACGCTTATTCTCAATATTGCTTATCTCAGGTGACTGTCAATGCCTCTAGGCCTCTTGTTTTCAATATTCTAGGGGCTCAGGGTTATGGTACTTGACCAGCAGCATACTGTTAAGAAGAGCTGCCAAGTTTGTTAAATTACTTTGACCCACTTTGATGGACAAAAGAATGAAATGTGTTGAAAAACACTGTAAATGACCTCTCCCAAATGAAGATGCCTAAGGTCATGATATTGTGCCAGTAGCTTGCAGAGATGAACGACCTTGAACCAGGGCGTCAAATATGTTAAAATCTTTAAGAAAAATTCTCAGTGACTTAAAAGGCCCAAAGTCATAATATTTTACCTGTAACATACTGAGATTATGAGCTTATAAGAGTGTTCAAACGAATGACCTTGACATACTTTCAAAGTCACAAGGGTCAAGTGTTATAAAGATTTCATTGACTTCTTCTCAATAACTAGAAACACAATGGTAATGATAGCGGGTAAGTTCCATGCTGGGTTGAAGGGTTACCAATTAAAGTACAGAGGTCAAATGTGGGTTGAACTCAAACGGCCTCTTTTCAATTAGCAGTAGACCCTGGATTTCGTTATTTCACCAACATATGCTTTAAAATGTTGTGTGATGTTTGGGGTGGACATGGAAGTTGACATAATCAACTAAAATAATGTAAGGTTAGCAATACAGGTCCTTTGGGCCACATACTAGTTTGAAAATTAATGTAATGAGCTCCTAAGGTTATTTTGCTGTGTTTCAGGCAAGCTCATACATGCAGAGGATGGGACCACATCAGCAACAGCAGCAACAACAGCAACTACAAATGCAGCAACGCAGAATGATGCCCATGCCTAACCAGCAACAAATGCAGCCAAATCAAGCAGCCCTCATATCTCAGCTTCAGCGACAGATTTCTGTGGGGCCAGGTCAGGCACCAGGGCCGCAGTACAACAATTACCCACAACCTCCACAGTACCAGTAGATCGATGTCTGAAGGAGCAGACCAAGTAGACCGATGTCTGAAGGGCAGACCATAATATGATAGTACATCAATTACCCTCAACCTCCACAGCACAAATAGACCGATGTCTGAAGGGAGACCCTAATAACACAGTACACCAATTACCAACAACCTCCACAGCACCAATAGACAGATGTCTGAAGGGGCAGACCAAGTAGACTGATGTCTGAAGGGCAGATCCTAATAACACAGTACAACAATTACCAACAAACTCCACAGCACCAGTAGACCGATGTCTGAAGGGCAGACCCTAATATGACAATACAACAATTACACACAACCTCCACAGCACCAGTAGACTGATGTCTGAAGGCAGACCCTTATAACACAGTACATTAATTACCCTCAACCTCCACAGCACCAGTAGACCAATGTCTGAAGGGCAGACCCTTATAACACAGTACATTAATTACCCTCAACCTCCACAGCACCAGTAGACCGATGTCTGAAGGGCAGACCCTTATAACACAGTACATTAATTACCCTCAACCTCCACAGCACCAGTAGACCGATGTCTGAAGGGAGACCCTAATAACACAGTGCAACAATTACCCTCAACCTCCACAGCACCAGTAGACCGATGTCTGAAGGGCAGACCCTAATAACACAGCACAGTGCAACAATTACCCTCAACCTCCACAGCACCAATTTTTATAAAAATGATTGTTTCTTTTCAGTACATGCTGGCTTCTTTCTGTTTGGTCATTGCCTTTTCACTGTGAAGATGGAGGAAGTGTATGTAGATAGAATCAATAGATTTACATGCCTGTTTTTATCTGTAAAGACTTTTTGTTGCGCATTCATATCTGCAATGTTTTATGAAAAAGACATTTTTAGGTTATGAGATATTTGTTCAGTTTTGCTTTGAATGAAATTATATCTTATGATATTGAGTTAAAAACTTATTAATTACTGGCAGTTTTCTTACATTGATGAAAAATTCACTTGCTAAATAAGAAACTCACTTTTTAAATATGTTGTTCATTTCCATCACATATAAAACATTTATGTACATATGAAACAGAAAACTGATGGTAGGACTGCAGGGATATCTTATAGACAACACCTTTGTGAATATTAAACATGTGTTTCCTCAGAGATGAACAATTCCTCGCAGAATTGCATTAATTTAGAGTGAACAGATGTTAAGTACTAAGTAAGTTTTAAAATGTAATGATCATGTATTGATCCTGTGAAGTGATGTTGACAGGAGCATACACTTTTGTGAGAGATGTCATCTGTGTTGGACTACAGCTGACTCCGGATACTAATATTTAATTAGAAGAATACTACAGTCAGCTGGATGTATCAGATACTATACAAATAAAGCTTAAATAGGTCAAGGGTGTGGAAAGGTCACTTCTGTGACCTACATTATGTTGTCACTGAATACATTGTGATTGGTGAAGTGGAGGAAGTGTTTGTTTTAATTCATTAATTGTTATGGAATCAATGAAATGTGTTTCAGTATATGATGTTATTAACATATACATACTTCACAATGTACAAATCATTTGTCACCATAGAAATCATGTAACTTTATTCATCATCATCATCATCATCATCATCATCATCGATGTACAGTGTTGTACAGATGTTATATGTAAAGAAAGGTTGTAACTTGATCTGATTAAGTTACCTGTAATACATGCATGATCAAGAAAGCATGAAAATAAACAATAAACAAATGAAACGTGCATATTTTTGTTATTTATTATCAGGCTCAGCCACATGAGCTGTCTTTCCTTTGAAGGAGTGAAAGTTATCATTCCTGTGAGAGAGAAGAGTATTGTGAGAGTTATCGTTTTACTGAGAAAGAAGAGTGTTGTGAGAGTTATCGTTTCACTGAGAAAGAAGAGTATTGTGAGAGTTATCGTTTCACTGAGAAAGAAGAGTATTGTGAGAGTTATCGTTTCACTGAGAAGGAAGAGTATTGTGAGAGTTATCGTTTTACTGAGAAAGAAGAGTGTTGTGAGAGTTATCGTTTCACTGAGAAAGAAGAGTATTGTGAGAGTTATCGTTTCACTGAGAAAGAAGAGTATTGTGAGAGCTACCATTCCTGTGAGAGTTTCTACTATTGTTCTTGTCAGATAGAAGTATACATAGAGAGTCGTTGCTTTTGTGACAGAAAATTGTTTTGTGCCGTGAGAGAGAATTGGATATTTCCTATACACTGGATATCGCTGATAAGCTTGGGAACTTTCAGGGGAGGCGAACATCCAACCCCTGGGGAATGATGGGTAGGGTTAAAAACATTTCTTGGTTGTATAAATGTAAGTGACTTCTTTGCATGTTTGACTGATAGTATCCCTAGGTGATGGGGATTCAAATTTGTAGAAATGTTGGGATGACCCTCCTCCTCACCTCACGGGACCAGAGAGGAAAGACACCGTAAGCGAAATGTAGTAAAATCTTCAAAATCCTTCTTTACTCTGAATGAATGACTGGATATTGCCTAAATTTGGTCTGAAGCAATCTTAGGTCATAGGAAATCAACTTTGTAAAAATGGTCGGTCTTTGCAGCCAGATGTTTGAAGGATGGGGACAAAAAGAGTTATTGGTTATATTGGTTTTAAGTAATATCTCCTCTGGAACTCAGGATGGTATCATCCCTAGATGGTAGGGATTAAATATTGTACAAATGGGTTTGATTTCAGTCATCACCCACATGGTGCCAAGAGGCAGGACCCCATTGGGAAGAATTTGTAAATTCTTTTAAAAAATCCTTATTCTTTTTCTGAAGAAATGACAGGATTTGTGTCCAATTATTGGATGTGCCCACTTTGAATGCCAATGGAGTACATATCAATATAATTGTGAAATTAACACTGATTGTGTATTTGATGTACATTGAATACCGGGTAAGCGATGCAGGCCAATTGGACTTCTTGCTTTTTGATGTAATAGAACATATATCCTCTATCACTGGTATAAGAAACGCGGAAAACAGTCTGTTGCTCAGGGAGCAGGAAAGAACATAGTTTCATTATATGTTAATTTCCATCATGATCTCCCTTACATACTGATTTTCTTTCATGCCTACCCCAACAAACACTTCCATACAATAACATGACATCATAACGTCACTTGATATTTTCGAAGTTAAAAGACAAAACGTTTACAGATTATTCCAAATTAACCAACTAGAGTAAACCTGTGGCGTTATCTGAAAAATAGAAAATAACAAGAACGAATGGAGACAAACAGACTATTCAAGTGGTGATGCTGAAATATGTGTCACTTTTAAGTAGTGTGTTTCCCATAAAGTACCATCCTTTCTGTTGTATCAATTATCAAAGTCAAATGTTTAAATGTGATTTTTCGTGTCCTTTACATTCTTATGGTCAACGAAAGTGTGCGATGACAATGGCGTGGTTCTGGGAATATGGTGTCTAATCTGATTTTGCTAAATTCCTTAATTCGTTTGATCTAACGTGACAGTAAACGAGCAGAAAGAACATCTTACAATAACATATTTTTCGTCTGAAATCTCGAGATGTTTGACGAAACTCCATCAGATTAGGCGTATAGTTACTTAATCATCTGGAATCATTTACGTACCAATAAAATCAGCGTTTTCTATAATTATATTCTTTGTTGATACGACCCCGAGTCGGACCGTAGACCAATGGTTTCTGCAATGATATTCTTTGTCGAGATGACCCCGAGTCGGACCGTAGACCAATAGTTTCTGTCATGATATTCTTTGTCGAGACGACCCCGAGTCGGACCGTAGACCAATAGTTTCTGTCATGATATTCTTTGTCGAGACGACCCCGAGTCAGACCGTAGACCAATGATTTCTGTCATGATATTCTTTGTCGAGACGACCCCGAGTCGGACCGTAGACCAATGGTTTCTGCAATGATATTCTTTGTTGATACAACCCCGAGTCGGACCGTAGACCAATGGTTTCTGCAATGATATTCTTTGTTGATACGACCCCGAGTCGGACCGTAGACCAATAGTTTCTGTCATGATATTCTTTGTCGAGATGACCCCGAGTCAGACCGTAGACCAATGATTTCTGTCATGATATTCTTTGTCGAGACGACCCCGAGTCGGACCGTAGACCAATAGTTTCTGTCATGATATTCTTTGTCGAGACGACCCCGAGTCGGACCGTAGACCAATGTTTTCTGCAATGATATTCTTTGTCGAGACGACCCCGAGTCGGACCGTAGACCAATGGTTTCTGCAATGATATTCTTTGTCGAGACGACCCCGAGTCGGACCGTAGACCAATGGTTTCTGCAATGATATTCTTTGTTGATACGACCCCGAGTCGGACCGTAGACCAATAGTTTCTGTCATGATATTCTTTGTCGAGATGACCCCGAGTCAGACCGTAGACCAATGATTTCTGTCATGATATTCTTTGTCGAGACGACCCCGAGTCGGACCGTAGACCAATGTTTTCTGCGATGATATTCTTTGTCGAGACGACCCCGAGTCGGACCGTAGACCAATGGTTTCTGCAATGATATTCTTTGTCGAGACGACCCCGAGTCGGACCGTAGACCAATGGTTTCTGCAATGATATTCTTTGTCGAGACGACCCCGAATCGGACCATATGGCCTGCTTTGTAGGGACATTCTTTGTCGAGACGACCCAAAGTCGAGTATAAACACCTAATTTGCCTCTGCAAATGTTACAGTATGTATCGTTTTTAAGGGATTTTCAGTAATGCAACATACCAGACCTCAAAAATCGATAGGCTTAATAAACTCGCCGGCGCACGTTCTACTGACGTATGACATGACAGGAGTATTCTGGAGTATACATCTAAACGCTACAGTTACTGTTTTGTTGTATACACCACACATGTTAGATACCATCAGTCAGTGTGATAATGACTTTTTTTCTGGTACACGAGACAAGGGAAATCTGTTCTGCTACCCAGTGATACATTTGTCTGTTAGTGCGAGTATACCTGTGATTAGATACGAAAATATTTACCATTATATGGTAATCCTACCGCGTAACCTTATCAAAATGAGTTTTGTATTACCAGCATACAAACTGTCAGCTCCTAAGTTGATGGTTTACTTCCTTATAACACGATGCAGGTTGACAACGATAACTATATAGTTGAACTGCTTTTCCTTGGCATTCCTGGGAATCATAGATGTCATGTTGATTAAGGCAAATTCAGCATGAAGTGCTTTAAGATTTGTCTTGATCCTCTTGGCATTCATATGCTCATGAATGTCAATTGAAAGCAGTTCAATACTTGAGTGAACGTGCCTGTGGTATATGAGCTGTATGGATAAGATCCGCTCAGTTATGATCTGTGTGTCCAATGTCTCGCTATCTTTTTCAATTCTACCAACCAAGTCCTTTATACGCCCACTGTGGCCGAGAGGCTGAACGAACAACAAAGGTAAACAGTGAAGGACACACGCACATTCTGCTGTCTGCAATATTATTACAACCTTCCTGACATGTCTGATCATTTGAAATCTTATTAAAACACAACGTATCGTTGCCACAAAGAATAATTAGCTTTGTTTTTAATCCGATTGTTTTGTGATAGACTGTAAAAATTTAAGTAACAACCAGTCAGTCGTGTTTGACTCTGTACCATTACAGATGGTAACAGACACAGAATACTGATAATGATTTCGAAGTACACTAATGGCTAAGTAGGTCTCGCTGGATTAGGTCATGTAGCAAACGAATTAATCATATATCTTTGGAAATATTGTTTACTGAACTAAGAAAACAAAGCAAAGTTCGAATGAAGTTTGTTCGGCTGTTTCATATACAGGTAGGCGTCTTCGAAATCTTTCTACAATTGAAAGAAACAATTCCAGGTTTAAAATTTCAAACCATTTTGAAATAAACAGATATTATATTATCAAATGCACCGGCTAGGTAATTAGTAGGCCATCCTTGCGAGAGTTTTAGTTATTGCTATTTCTGAAAAGGATTCATGTTCAAAATTCTTATCATTCAGAACAAATACTGAGAAAATAAGAGAAAAAGATCCAACGTTCAACGAACAGATAAAGAGCAAACAATGGTTGGCACCTTTATCTTTATTTTTCATTTATTTTTTTTTTTTTGGGGGGGGGGGGAGGTGTGTGTGTTTGTTGTGTGTGTTTGTTTTGGAGGGGTGAGGTGCGTATGGTTGTCACTTTGTCCGTCCGTCCCTGTCTCTCCATCCCTTTTGTGTACAGAGCACGACTTTGTCCAAAGTTGAGCAAGGAGCATGTAACTTGGTGT